CCCTACCTCCTGTGAAGTTCACTGTCCTACCTTCTGCCTCCTAAAACTTCACCTCTGTCCTGTGAGGGTATTATTCTCTATTTCACCTATCTCTTCTCTTCATCTAGTAAGTCATTTCCTGTGTTAGAGGCAGTTCCCTGTTTTATTCACTTTTCTTCTTTTAAAGCAAATATGAGGTTTTACCTCCTGTTTGAATCATTCCTGAGGTTCATGTTGTACAAACCTGATTTGCTACTTCAGGTTTTCCTAAAGAAAGATTAAACCGAAGAATGTGTAGAAAAATAAAACAAGCATTCTTAAAGGGGAAATTACTTGTATTAACTATACATAATACACATATAGATAGATAATATATACACTTTTAATATCTTTGGGATTATATTTCAGGCTATAAATCAGTAAAAATATAATCCTTATATATTTGTCCATTTATTTATTTAGCACCTAATGAGATCAGGACCTTGGGTTAGAGTGGTAAACTAAAAAACATGGAAGCTTAAAACATGGAAACAATACTTAAGATTGTGCCAGAAAGATATCCTTTTTTAAAATTATTATTTTTCTTTGAGAGAGAGAGAGAGAAAGAGAAGAGAGAAGAGAAACATCATTTGGTTGCCTCCTGCACATGCCTCGACCAGGGACCAAATCTGCAATCTGGGTATGTGCCCAGACTGGGAATTAACCCACCACCTTCTGGTTCATGGGATGACGTGCCAACCAAGTGAGACACACGAGCCAAGGCAAGATAACCCATTTTTGTGGACAGAAACCTTAATATGTTGAGATGGCATTACTCCCCAAACTGATCTACAGATGCAACGTATTCCTATCAAGAGCCCAGCTACCTTTTTGCAAAAATTGACAAGCTGATCATAAAATTCCTATGGAAATGCAAGGGACCGAGAATGGTCCAAATAATCTTGAAAAAAAAAAGAATAAAGTTGGAAGACTCACACTTCATGACTCACTCCCCCTGCAGCAGGGGCACTGATCAGGTTTTGGCTCAGGTCCGTGCTGTCTCTTCTAACACTGATTGGGCCACTACCATTGACTCTCTGTCCCAGTAGCTCTCCTGATAGCTGCCGTTGACTGAGATCTGCCTCATCCTCTTCCTTTATGGCCCCGCACCTGTCACCTCAGGAAGTAGTTATCGAGTGGTAGAGTGGCTCTTATTATAGAATTTCTCACTGATATTAATTTTTTTCAAGAAAAGTATAGAATTTCTCACTGATATTAATTTTTTTTCAAGAAAAGTACACAATTTCTCACTGATATTAATTTTTTTTCAAGAAAAGTACACAGAGAGTTTAGTGAAACAGAAAGGAATGATTTATATAAGTGAGCAAACCCCAGGCCTAAAGAAAGGGCAAGGCAAAGAGCTGGGGGCAGAGTTGCCAGGGTTTTTGATAAAGAGGATGAGGCTCCTACCAACTGAGCCACCTGGCCAGGGCAGAGTTGCCAGGGTTTTTATCTCAACCATATCAACGGATTAAAACTAGCAGTATTAATAGTAAGAATAAAAGAGGATGCCCAGGCATTGCTTTTTTCTAATAAAAATAATGATGGTTACATCGAGCTAACTTGTAGATTCTTCACCTAACCATGTATCTTCATCCGATTTCCTGAAGTAATTATATGAAAAAGAAAGAATGTGAATGAAATATTCAAATAGGTCAATAATATTAATCTATTTGTAGTTATTGAGCAGTGATTTGTACTGCTAGACAAAATACTTAATACGAATTACTTTATTTAATCCTCACAAACAACCCCATGAGTCCCAGGCACTACTCTAATCCCCATTTGATCAATGGGGAGACAATGAAATAATTTGTTCAAGGTCACAATTGGATTGTGGTAGAGCTTTGAACACAGGCAGTCTGTTTCCAGAGTCTGTGCTCTTAAACACAATACATTGAAGGTTATGTGTGGGTCTAGATCAAATTAAATTATATTTTTAAAAGATTGGAAAGTAGCATATAGCTAAAATGACATATCTGAAGCCATAGGCTTAACATGGACAAATATACCTACCTTCCTCTTGTCTGAAATTTGCCTGTTTGTTTAGCTTGTAAAATTGCATCAGATATAGAGGCCTTTTGTTCCTCTTCCATTAAGATAACTAATGTAAGCAGAAGACCCCAGAACTCTAAAAAGATAGACTTGTTGGGTGGGTCACAAAAATCAGTGACTATGAGTGAAGATGATAGAGAACAATCCTCCTCTACTAGGGGTATAACTCAACAACAAAACCACTGGGTCACTCTTATAAGAAGGAACAGCAACCTGGCTGGTGTGGCTCAGTGGTTGAGTGTCAACCAGCACATACCCGGGTTGTAGGCTCGATCCCCAGGGTGGGGCATGCAAGAGGCAGCTGATCAATGATTCTCTCTCATCATTGATGTTCCTATCTCTCCCCCTCCATTCCTCTCTAAAACCAATAAAAATATAGTTTTGTGTTTTTTTTTTCAAAAGAATGGACAGGAGGCTGGACGTCACAAAGTATACCCAGTCTATGGTCATTTCAGGTTTTATGAATCACATCAAAATGGCACTTCTACATCTTCTTCCAACACAATATTATTATTTTCATAGACTTAAAGAGAGAAGCAAGTCCTAGTCAGCTCAGTCTGTTCTAACAAAATACGGCAGACTGGGTGGTTTAAACAGAAGTTTATTCCTCGCAGTTCTAGAGGCTGGGAAGTCCAATATCAGGTCAACAACATGGTCGAGTTCTGATGAGAGCCCTCTTCTGGGTTGCAGGCAGCTGACTTCTTGGTACTTTCTCGCGTGGCAGAAGGAGAGCAAGGGTGTCCTCTGGCCTTTCTTATGCGGGCACCAATCCCATTCATGAGGGCTCTGCCTTCATGACCTAATCACTCTCAAAGGCATAACCTCCAAAATATCAGAACAGTAGGAATTAGATTCCAACATGCAGATTTGAGGGAGACATAAACAAACATTCAGTTCATAACAGTAAGTATTCTTTTTGTGGAGTGCAGTAGTGCCCCAATTTAGCATGGCTTGTTTATGCATTTTGAATGTGAGGATCACCAACAAGGGGTTCAATATAGCTCTAGTAGGGATGATCGAATCCACTTCAACAGTTAAGCCCAAGCTAAAGAATAAAAAAGGTGACTTTCATTTAGCAGGACAGTGACATTTCATAATCCAAACCACACTTGGCACTATGTGCAAGCAGTCCCTGCTGTGTCACCACAAGGCTGTTTGTCTCTGTGGACTCAGGGTTGATGGGTACACCAGAAAGGGGCCACGTCCTTTCCCTGGATGTCCTGATGGTTTCCTGTCCTGGGTTAGCCAACTGGCATCAGAACAGTTAAAGATGCTTATGTTATACATTGTTGGTGCATAGCGATTAAAAAAAAATAACTCTAGACATCCACTATTGGAATAAGACTTGTACCTTCAGTCAACCATCCCTAGACTTCAGTTCTAGTTGACTTTAAAATCACTGATTTGTAGTTGTTGCCTGTAGAACTATGTCAATACACTGAATGCTGTTGCCCCCGAGAGCAGTATCAGTTGAGTTTCAGATGTTTTTTCCAAGGGCATAGTTTAAAGAGGAGAGTCGAATATTTAATCCCTTGGGTAAGACAATTTTAAACTATGCCAATGTTTCTTTACCTAATAACCTTGGCAGTATCACTTGGAAAGTACCCAAGAGAGTTTTTTGGTGAGCCTTCTTGTAAATAATTTAGTGCCCTTTTTTAAACTGGCAAGGCTCCGATTGTTATAATGTATTTTATTAGATGCATATTTCTTTGCATATTTTCAGGAAAAGTCAACAGAGGCTTCTATGATTCCTCTTGCCCATTTTATTTCTAGGTACAGAGTTTATTAGGCCTGGCTTTTAAAAAAGCAGTAGCTTTATTGAGATATAATTTACTTATATAATTCATGTCTTTAAAGTATACCATTTAATAGTTTTAATATATTAACTACAATCAACTTCAGAATATTTTCATCACCCAGAGAAAGGGAAGAATACATGCCATCCATCACTTGCTTCCCATTTTTCTCACTTCACTCCTACCTCCAACCCTAGATAACTACTAATCTACTTTATATCTCAATGGATTTGCCTATTCTGGACAGTTCACATAAATGAGATCATACAATATATAGTCCTTTGTGTCAGGCTTCTTTCACTTAGCATCATATCTTCAAGGTTCATCCATGTTGTAGCATGTGTCAGTACTTTATTTCTTCTTGTTGCTGAATAATATTCCATTATTTGTATAGACCACATTTTGTTTATCCATCAGTTGATGGACATTTGGGTTGTTTCTTTCTTGGGGCTATTATGCATAATGCTGTTATAAACATTGTATATACTTTTATGTGTGAAGGTCTGGCTTTTTAGTGACTCATCTGGTCTTTAAAATACTGGTTATATAATAGCTAAATAGCACTCCCAGTGTCCTCTTGCTCAGCACCTCTTTTTAGGTACAGGAAGTGTCTGGGTTACAGATTGGGCAGCTAAGACCCACTCCGTCACTCCATTTCTTTTTTTGCTTCAGTAGGGTCCAACTCCACTTCAACAGTTAAGCCCAAGCTAAAGAATAAAAGAGGTGACTATCACTTAGCAATGGCATTGCATGGCTTGGCATTTCTGTACACATTGGTGACAATGCTGTACCAATTTGTGTGGATACATGAAGGCAGAAGAAGACCTAAAGCCCGAAGTGCACATATTTATAAAAATCTTGCAGGCTTTTTCTGTTTGTTATTTCCAATAGTGTGATCGGGTCTGAAAGCGAAAGTACAAGAACTTCAAAGTGACAATATTCCTTAGAGATCTTCTTAGTGATGTCACTTCTCGCCCATGATCACACTGCTCGTGGCAGAGCAAGAATTGAAACTACTATCTCTTCACTTGTAATCCTGACCCTTGTTGTGGTGTCTGAAGACAAGTATTCCTTGTCCAGGAGCTGGGTAAAGAGTGTTGTTGAATCATTTTGTGTCTCTTTTTTTAATAGAATCCCATCACGGGGCTGCTGTCTGCCAGTCATGAACAGAAGGATGCCTGGGTGCGAGATAATATCTACAGCATTCTGGCTGTGTGGGGCCTGGGCATGGCCTACCGCAAGAATGCCGACCGTGATGAGGACAAGGCCAAAGCCTATGAGTTGGAGCAGGTAATGCTGATTGGCAGCCATGTCTTGGCCGTGCAGCACCTCTTCCTTAAACTGAAAAGCCTACAAGGAAGTAGCTGTGTGTACAGAACAGTTTGGTGCAGATGTTGGCTCCATTTCTGCTATAGAATATTTTGGGGAAGCACTTAAGTGGCCTCAACTTCTCATTTGTTTTTCCCTTTGAGTTTTTTTCCTTCCAAGAAATAATCAAAATGAATTGGAAAATAAAGCATTAAAATTTCCAACTAGCTATTTCTCACACTCATGTTCTGTCAATTTTATATATATATATATATATATATATATATATATATATATATATATATATATATATATAAACTAATATGCAAAGTGTCCCCTTGGGTGTTCAACTGGGAGACCAGGAGTTTGACTGCTTCCTATGATGTGCACTGACCAGGGAGTGGCACAGAAGGAAGGCCCCGGCTGGCAGCCAGAAGGCCCCAATCGGCCCTGATCACTAGCCAGGCCTAGGGAACCCTACCCATGCACAAATTTCATGCACTGGGCCTCTAGTAGTTATATATGAGGTTATATAAACTAATATGATTGTTTTTTTTTTAAAGTCAGTACACCAGAACTACACATTCCAAACACCTTTCAAGTACTTATGTTGAAAGGATGCTCATCCAAACAGTATTACCACCATTTAAAACATATTTGGAATTTCCCATGTTGATATTATTCAATTTTTGTGCTTATGTTGCCATATAGCTCAATGGAGTCCTATTATTGTTTTCCAAAATCAGAATCTACGATACCCACCAAAGAAAAAATATAGCATCATTGAATATGTCAGAAAATAATCTATCCTTAAGCACAGGAGGTGTTTTCAGTTTTCACGACCCTTCACTACATCCTCCACTGCAAACCATGCACATTCTGTAAGAGAGGAGATGCTCATGGCCCTGGGTGAGCTTCTTTCAGCCAGGCAACTTTGAGCAATCCTGTTCTCCAGTCACTTGTGAAGCAGTCTTAGGTTCAATTCCAGTCAAGGGCATGAACCTCAGTTTCATGCTCCATCCCCAGCATGGTTGGGGCATGTGCTGGAGGCAACCAGTTGATGTGTCCCTCTCATATCAACGTTTCTCCCCCCCCCCCACTTCCACTCTCTCTAAAGAAATCAATGGAAAAAAATATCCTCAGGTGAGGATTAATAACACATAGAACATAATAAGATCAGTCTTTCAATATTCACATGTAATACATGAATTGTAAAGGAAATGAGAGGTCACATAATGTATTGATTCAGAACTCAAACTCTGGAGTCAAATGGCCTGGACTCTGTCCTTGCTGTATCCACTGGGAAACTTTAGCAATGTTACTTCACCTCTCTCAGCCTCTGGTTCCTCATCTATAAAGTGAGGTAATAATAATACCTACCTCAAAAGATTGTTGGAAGAATTAGAGAGAACCAGGTAAAGTGTTTTGTACAATGCCTGGATTATCAAAGTACTATTTCTATTTATGATAATACTAAGAATTATAATAATTGGTTACAATACATATTATTAAGAAACCTTGGCAGCTACTTGCATTTTGTAAGAACTTTACTCAACAGTTCAGTAATGGTGTCACAAATGGCTATTTTGGCACAGAGATGTATTACTTGGGAAGGGATGGTGGACTTAATTCATCCTTGCATAACAAAAATAAATTACTAAGAATTGTGCCATAAAGCTCCAGGGTACTAGGCTTATACAATTGCTTGCTAAAATATCATTGAGGAGTCACTAGATTTCAGAGCTGGGAGATGCCATCTGGTCCAACTCCTTCCTTTGAGATAAGTCACTTTATCAGAATTTTTTTTCTTTGTGATGGAGTGGAGAGGTGAAAATAATTAGACAATCAGAATACTTGTATAAACTCAGGATCTGCCTTCGCAGGGAAATCTGCAGGCAATGTTGGCTTACTGGCTAGGTGGTGAGGTTATCATGGAGCAGGGAAGCTGGTCTTGTTACTGGTCCCACTTTCTCTCTACAGAACGTGGTGAAACTCATGCGGGGTCTTCTGCAGTGCATGATGAGACAGGTAGGTGGAAAATGACAACTGTTTGTGAGTCATCTGAGTGGGCATTTCGTCATTTTCATGATGACAACTAACATTCTTAAAGCGTTTTGAACTTTTCAAAATGAGAAATTGAAAACATTTTGCTTACTTTTTTCTTTAAAATTATCTTCGATGTTTGTATTACACTCTCTGGCTCAGAGACTCAAAGGATGCTGTGTCTCAGAATCTCTTTTGAAGACTCGCTTGTGTGAAAGGAGAACATATCTTTTTTTTTTTTTTAATAAATGGGGAAGAAAACATTGTTTTTAAAAGCCACTCCTAGAAAGCCATGTACTACTGTTTATTCTGTTGAGTTTGTAAAAGGGTTTCTTTTGAGTTGAAATGCTTGAGTTTCTAAAACTTGACATTACTATTTACTGGTATTTTCTGTAAGGGTTAAATAAAACAACTCGTTGAGCACATACTGTATACAGAGCATCATATTAGGACCTGCAACAGATATAAAGATGACTACCACACTGTCCCCACCTTTAATCAGCATGTGCCTGCTAGTCTTCAAAGACAGTTATTCTTTTTCTATCAACATAACAGGCCCTCTTCCTATATCATTCTCACCCTCTTTTCCTCCTCCTCTCATTGAGTGCCTACCATGTGTTAAGGTTCATGCTGGGTATACACAGGCACGGAAACCCCTTGTCTTGACTCTTTGCCCCTGCAGAACTAGTTAAAATCCCACTGGGCTGGACATTCCTAATGATGGGCAAAAAGAATCCCCCACACAGTCCCTCTGTGTGGTGCTCACTAGTGAAAGTCCCATTTTACATCTCTTTGGCTCCCAGAGGTAGCAGATAAGAGGTCTGCATCCAAGAGATTGAACCTAGGTGTGGCCTTTGCCAGCCACGAACCTCTTAGCTATGCAGAGCTAACTTGCCTTCTCCCTCAGGTGGATAAAGTGGAGAAGTTCAAGCACACTCAGAGTACAAAGGACAGCCTGCACGCCAAGTACAACACTGCCACCTGCAGCACCGTGGTGGGTGATGACCAGTGGGGCCACCTTCAGGTGGATGCCACCTCCCTCTTCCTCCTGTTCCTGGCCCAGATGACTGCTTCAGGTGAGCCAAGGCCATTTGAGCCCACTGTACAGGGAGTGACAATCCAGAAGGGTGTAGGGAGGGGCAGATATTGATCAGTATTCAAAATAAGCTATTTATATAAAGAAAAAGCATGCTTCTTTTTATTTATTTATTTATTTATTTATTTTAAAATATATTTTATTGATTTTTTTTGCCCCCCTCCCTATCATACATACCCTCCCTCCCCAGACTTGAAAAAGCATGCTTTTTTATAATATTACTAGAGGCCTGGTTCACAGATTTGTGCACCCGTGGGGTCCCTCAGCCTGGCCTGCACCCTCTTGCAATCCGACACCCCCAAGGGATGTAGTGGTGTGCGAAACAGCTGGCAGCTGGAGAGGAACCCAGGCTGGGTGCTGCGCCACTCCTGTTCATACCAGCACCGCTGCACCTACCAGCACTTGGTTGCTCTGCCATGGAGGCAGGAGAGGCTTAAGCCACTAAAGCTGCGCTTGCCAGCTGTGAGCCCAGGGTCTTGCGCCCCTCGATCAGCTGAGCGGAGCTCTCCCTGTGGGAGCACACTGACCACGAGGGGGCAGCTCCTGTGTTGAGCATCTGCTCCCTGGTGGTCAGTGCGCATCATAGTGAGTGGTTTATCCATCATTCAGTCATTTGGTCGCTTAGGCTTTTATATATATAGATGAGCACTGACTCTGTGACATGCCAGTAGTCAGCCTCCTGAGCACTCGCAGGATGAGGGCTATTGAGCCAGCTCTGTTAGCATCTCTGTAGTTAATTGCAAAGCTTCCTTTCTGTCACTTTCACCTAGTTACTGGGTAACAACCTAGATGAGATCTACCTTCAATAGTTCAACTCTGCAGAGTGTCATGCCCCTCCCCCCTTAAAGTTTTCCTATCCCAGATTTTATCAGTGAATATGCTACAATTAATATAACTATTCCTTTATTCTTTTCCTTTTTGCTGTTATAACTAATATTGCAATACCAACTTTGACCCATATCTATTTGTTTCCTTCCGTTAGTTAGATTCCATTCAAGGAGTGCAGAAGGCCCCATACCTTCCCCTTTCTGCTTGTAGGCACACGCAAAAGCAGATATAGGCTTGCCTTCTTTCCTTCCTTCCTCTTTCTGCTACTAGACATAGTGTTAAAATTTATTTCAGACTTAATTTTTGATGCTCTAGTAAGAAAAATGAAAATGGGGCCCTAGCCAGTTTGGCTCAGTGAATAGAGTGTCAGCCTGCAGACTGAAGGGTCCTGGGTTTGATTATTATCAAGGGCACATGCCCAGGTTTTGGGACCCATCCCCAGTAGGGAGTTTGCAGGAGGCAGCCAATCAATGACCCTCTCTCATCGATGTTTCTATCTTTCTTTCCCTCTTTCTTCCTCTCTGAGCAATCAATAAAAGTTAAAAAAAAAAAAAAGGAAAAAATGAAAATGGGGTAAAAGGATTCATTTCCTAGTGTGATATTTGTAATGGGCAGCTCTCTTTAAAGCATAACTTCATAATTTCATTGTTTGCTTTTCTTGACTAGGTTTACGTATTATTTTCACCCTTGATGAAGTTGCCTTCATACAGAATCTTGTTTTTTATATAGAAGCTGCATATAAAGTTGCTGTAAGTATAAACCCCAGTAGTATTTTCAGTTGTCAAAAAGAATAAAAAATCATATGGTTCTCTGAGAGCCATGCTATTTGGAGCTGACCAGAAATTTAGCATAATTAGAAGTGTAAGATTATGTCACCTCCACACACAAAGTGCACATTTTTGTCCTGGGACACAATTGCAGAGTTCATGTGGCATGTACATAGGCTGGTCTGACTCAGGATTAAGGGAGCTGTTATGCCAAGGTGATCACCCCAAGCAGCCCCCAGGTAGAGGGGCCAGAGCCAGATGTGGGCCCCAGGCCAGGTGTGTGCAGGTACAAATGTGCATAAACCCCAGCTCCTCCAGGATTGACTATAAGGGTGATAAGGAAAGTGTAGAGTTTGGTTTGAAAAAGAAAGCCACTATGGTCTAAAGCAAGGGTCAGCAAACATTATATGCAAAGGGCCAGAGAGTAAATATTTTCAACCTTATGGTCCCTATGATCTCTTTTGCTGCAATTCACCTCTGCCATGGTAGCACCAAAGTAGCCATAGACAACATATAACATGTGAGCATGGCTGTGTCTGAAATATACTTTATTTACAAAATCGGGTAACCAACTAAATTTGATCCAAGGGCTATAGTTTACTACCCCCAGGTCTAAAGCAGTAACTTTCAATTAGGGGCAATCTTCCCCTCGCAGGGGACATTGGGCAATGTCTTGAAATATTTTTTGGTTGTAATATTGGGGAAGGTGCTACTTACATATAGAAGGGTGGTGTCCAGGGACTATGCTGAGCATCCTACAGTGCACAGGACAGTTCCCACAACAAAGAATGATCTGGCCCCAAATGTCAATAGTGCCAAGGTTGACAAAGCTAGGTCTAAAGAAACTCAAGAAATCTTAATGTAAAAGGTGGGACTTTAGTTGGACCTTGGAGGATGAGTAGAGTTAGATAAACAGAAGGAGGAAAAGGGGTGTTTGCAGTAAGGAAATAGCATGAGCAGTTATAGAGGCAAGAACAGGCTCTGAGTGTGTCTATTTGGGAAGATGCTTGGGGAAAATGGGTGCAGAGTGAAGGAGTAGATTTAGGGTAAAAGTTGAGTATTAGACAGTGGTAGAAAATAGTCAATTTGTATGTGTGCTAGATGAGGTGGAGAGGCCAAATAAGGGAAGTGTGGCCATCTAGAGAGAGAGATTTGAACAGGACCCATTAGGGTTATATAAAGAGCTTGTCAAGCAGGAAGTGAGGTGATGAAAGCAATTTTTGAGTTGGAGTGAAGATGAGTTGGAATGTGGAAATTTCCCTGATGTGAGGAATGCCGAAGGAAGGAGTCCTAGGTCCTAGCTACAAGGCAGAGTCTAAAGTCACTCTGGTGTGTCTAAGTTGAAATTTTCACATTTTGAAAATGCTCATCTTTAGAGACCAGATAATACATACTGAAATGCTGGCATTGGTCCTGTTCTTGTTGGGTTGTAATCTTTCAATAGTGCACAGAGCATTATTTCAAAAACAGTATGCAGTTCTTAGGTTTCTTAATAGAAAGTATGAATTATTAAAGTTAGATATGCATGTATCAAGTCCTCTATGTGGACAGAGTGTTCTGAGCCAATTCATATTAACTATGTTTAAGATACCAAGAAAGTGCAGCATTCCGTGCCTTGGTTTTGACTTGGGCTCCTGTTACTTGCTAAGCATTCCTTCCCCCAAGAAGTAATGCTAGAAAAAGATATTAAATAATTTTAAATGGTTTGCTTGGCTTCAACTATTTCTAACCCATTTGTTTAAGTTTCTTTATTCCATCGTATAATTTAATATAAGTTCAAAGGAATTAGCTAAATTGAGGGGCAGCATTTTATTTGATTTTAAGATAAATAAAATATTTTGTTTTCTACAAATCAAGAGTTTCTTACAAATTAATAATTTTTAGGAATAAGAAAATTGAGAGTACTTTTGCATGCATTTTTGGTTCCACCTGAGTATTTACTTCTAAAACTGCACAAAGGTCAAATGAACTGAAATCGAGGAAAAACACAGCCTGAGTGTGTAAAACCATGAATTTGGTTGTCTTGGAGAAGAGATATTCATGTTCCATTATGCCTGCAGTAACATAAAGGAATCATTTTTCCGTAGCACTTCTCATGTTCCTCTTTTCCTGCTCTGATTACTGTCTTTTTCTCCTGCAGGATTATGGAATGTGGGAACGTGGTGATAAGACTAATCAGGGCATTCCAGAATTGAATGCAAGCTCTGTAGGAATGGCCAAGGTGACGGCTCATCCTCCTTGTTCTTCCTTCTGTGCGTTTTTTTACTGCTTTGACATGGTTCTCATTAGAAGTATGAACTTAATCTGATTAGTATCTTTTTCAAAAGTCAACAGCAAGTGTGAAATTCAAGTGGTGCGTGTACCCAGCCAACTGAAATTATAGGTAAAGAATGTAGGTTTCCTGCACTGAAATCTGCATGTGCTTGAAAATAAGGGCACTCCTTCCTCATTGGGTATTGTTATCACCCACAGGTCTAAGCTCTTACTGTTGTCTAGGAAGATGGATGTAGATCTTCAGTTTTCTTTTCTGGGTCATAAAGAGGCTGAAGAACATGACCACTTTGTAGGGCAGGGCTTACAAGTTCAAAAGTCTATAGGGCCAGGCAAGTAAAATATAAACATGTGAAATTGGCCAGATAGAAAAATATCAAGGAGTATTGTGGATACTGAGGACGTTCTCTAAAGGTATTGCAGTTCAAAATCATTTTAAAAACATACTTAGGTCAAAACAGAATACACCTGTGGGGCAAATTCAATCTGCAGGCTACCAGTTTTCATCTCTTGCCCTAGACATTTAGCATGCTTTCCTTTCCTCCTCTTCAATACCAAGGTGTACTTTTGGAAAGACTCCAGCGCCAGAATTGTTAAAGCAGCAATAAATATGCTCTGTTAAGAGAACAGACTGATGGTTGCCAGATTCTAGGGGGTTTGGAGGAGAGTTTAAAAGGTGACGGGATTGAGAAGTAGATTGGTAGTTACAAAATAGTCATGGGGATATAAAGCACAGCACTGGGAATATAGTCAATGATATTGTAATAACTATGTATGGTGCCAGGTGGGTACTGGAAATATCAGAGGAAACACTTTGTAAAATATATGATTGTCTAACCACTATGCTGTACACCTGAAGCTAATAAAGAATAATATTGAATGCAAACTGCAAGTGAAACAAAAATCATAACAAAAATAAATACATAAATAATAAGAGTAAAAAATATGCTCTGTTAAGGTCAACTGACAAACAACATAGTTAGTACTAAAAAAAAAAAAAAATAGTAACTTTTTTAAGTGCCAGATATGCTGTCAGGAATTAATCACTAAAATAGGAGAAAGAAAAGCCAACCATAGCCAAAACCGGTTTGGCTCAGTGGTAGAGCGTTGGTCTGCAGACTGAAAGGTCTCGGGTTCGATTCCAGGCAAGGGCATATATGTTGGTTGCGGGCACATCTCCAGTGGGGGGTGTGCAGGAGATGGCTGGTTGATGTTTCTCTCTCATCAACGTTCCTGGCTCTCTATCTCTCTCCCTTCCTTTCTGTAAAAAATCAATAAAATATATATTTTTTAAAAAGCCAACCATGAATTATAGTGCCCCCTGTGTATGTGCGTGCACACACATACACACACACACACACACACACAATTATTAATTTGTTAATATTTCATTTTTGTATAATTATTTCATTTGAGGAAATATTTTTATTTTCCTCTGCTTGCTCCCTTAATGAGCTGCAACATTTAGGAAAGCTCTGATCTACTGAAAATAAGGATAGAACATGACCATAGGACTCTTTGGCTGGATTTTAAGATAATGTTTCATCACCTTTGGGGAAATGTGTACACCTAGATTGCTTAATGAAAAAGGAGTATTGGATATGGGAGTGCATGTTCACTAGAAAGGAAAAGTAATTCTGACCTGTGTTTGTAGGCAGCACTTGAAGCAATTGATGAACTGGATCTTTTTGGAGCCCATGGAGGACGCAAGTCAGTGATCCATGTCCTGCCTGATGAGGTTGAACACTGCCAGGTAACAGCACAGCCTCTCACATTCCAGAGAGCTGGACTCATGAAGGGAAGACATGGGCTCCAGTTTTCCTTACCTTTCTAACTTGGTGGTACTTGGCTTCTTTGAGCTTTAGTTCCCTCATTCATACAGTGGGCATATTGGACCCTTTCCCTCCTGCTGCACAAGGTGGTCCTAAGGATAAGAGTAAATCCACTTAATTTGTCAAAGTACTTTGTAAGCCAGAAAGTACCAAAGTACCATACAAACATAAGACACAACAATAATATACACTGAGTGACCAGATTATTATGATCTCTGAACGCATAATAATCTGGTCACTCAGTGTATATATACATATATTAGAGGCTCCGTGCATGAATTAGTGCATGGGTGGGGTCCAGCCAGCCTGGCCAGGGGGAGGGGACATAGGTGGTTGGCCAGCCTGCCTGCTGGTCGAACTCCTGGTCGAGGGGACTATTTGCATATTAGCCTTTTATTCTATAGGATATACACTGAGTGGCCAGATTATTATGTGTTCAGAGATCATAATAATCTGGCCACTCAATGTATATATGGAGTCAGCAATCAAGACACCTTATTTTGCAGAAGACAAAATCTGTTTTATTTGTTTTGAACATATAGGTGGTTTTCGCTCAGGTTTATTTCATGATGCTCCCAAATTGAATGACTATCAAACACTAGTTCACTTGGGGAGCGAGGAGGAGATGGGCAGAATGGGTAATGGTGGAGAGATGAGATGGGAGAAATGGCAAAGAAGTGGAACCTTCATGAAATAAAAATCAGAAAAAGGAGTGATTTTGGCAAGATTAAGCAGAGAGTAGGTCACCAACTATTAGTCAATCTCCAAACTTTTATTTAGTGAGGGCCCACTGTGTGCTAGGGCTATGAGAATCAGATACATAAAAACTTGTAAGCAGAGAGCTTCTGGAGGGAGTGTATGTTTCCAGGCAGAGAGAGCCTAGGAAAGAATAACTAGTTAAAGAACTAAACTTGGGGCGGGATGGGGTTCAGTTGGTTATAAAAAATGAGGTTTTACTCTGAAGCTGAAGGTTCACCCCCCATTTTTATCCCACTATCCAGCTCATTCATTTCCCCCCATTAAATATTTGTTAGTGAGGATTCTACAATTTCTTTTGTTTTGATTTTTAAAATTAATTTCTTTATTGATTAAGGTATCACTTATTTGTCTTCAACCCCCCCCATTCCAATCTCCCACTCCCCTCATGCCCCCACCCCCCTATTGTCCTTGATCACTGGTTAGGCTCATATGTGTACATAAGTCCTTTGGTTCTTGAAGTATAGTTTAATAGAGTCAAACTAGTGTGCATCTTTTTTTTAAATATATTTTATTGATTTTTTACAGAGAGGAAGAGAGAGGGATAGAGAGTTAGAAACGTCGATGATAAACATTGATCAGCTGCCTCTTGCACACCCCCTACTGGGGATGTGCCCGCAACCAAGGTACATGCCCTTGACCGGAATCGAACCTGGGACCTTTCGGTCCGCAGGCCGCTTTATCCACTGAGCCAAACCGGCTTCGGCCTAGTGTGCATCTTAATAGATGAAATAGTCTATGGAAATTGTGTGAGCTTTGTAGCCAGCTGGTCCTGGGTGGAAATCCTAGATCTGTCACATACTGCTGCATTTCTTCAGACTGAGTCTTTGTACTTAGAGTCTTGAGTTCTCATGTGTGAATTGGATGTAGTACCTGAATTCCTTCTTCATATGGAAGATTTAATAAGCTTATTTTTTCAAGGGTCTAGCCCCATGTCTTTACATGTTAAATCTCAGGATTAGCTTCTTTCCTTCCCAAACTTTTCCTTATAATCTCAGCTTTCTTTATTTTACAATGCCTAATCCAACCACCTTATAATTGAGGCCATATTATAGTGCCACTAAGTAACCCATTCTCTCTAGGACTGAACTAAATACTGTTGTTACCATTTTGCCTGAGTGTTCTTGTGGTCTTCTTGGATTTGCCTTTTTCTTTAAGTGGTTTCCCAGTCACCCAGTCCAACTGGCCACATTCCATAGAAGCCAGACATTTCTCTGTAGTGGCCCTGTATGTGTGTCCTTCTCTCTCTTTTTCTTCACCATCAGGACATCCTATCCTGCTGACAAAGGTAGCCCCTAGGTCCTTCCCTGTATGTTCTGAAGGCCCAGCAAAGTCAACAGAAGTCATGAAGGAAGGGAGAGAAGGAGTTCTCAGCATGGTCTCCAGGCAGTACCACACTCCCTCCAACTCCTTATTCTCCCCCAAGGAACAGGAAGCATTGGGTGGGCAAGGTCGCCCAACAGGGTCATATTGGTAGGACAAAGCTCTAATTACTTGAATATTCCTTTGGGGCAAAGGTCATGATTTCTAGATACTGTACATAATTATTAGTATGTCACAGGTTAAAGCCACTTCTGTTTTTCATTCAGTCTATTCTGTTCTCCATGCTGCCAAGAGCATCGACGTCTAAAGAGATTGATGCTGGACTTCTTTCTATTATTTCTTTCCCGGCCTTTGCAGTGGAAGATATGAACCTTGTGAATGTGACCAAAAATGAAATTATTTCGAAGCTCCAGGTAAGCGGTGGTCACCCTAGTGCTGATCTGCCCTGTGTTAAGTACCACTTTCACAATATGACTTGGTTCTCCATGAGGCCAATAGCTTGGCTTATCTAAGTGGGCTCATAGAGTGAGGTATTCAAAGCTGAGTCTACAGATGACAAAACTAAGTCTCTTAGTGATCGAGTGACTTGGTTCTCTTCCTAAGTTTCAGAGGGTGACTCAAGCTGTCATCTTTGAGCCTCAATTCATACCATTCCTGTACTAAGGCATAATTTCTTAACCCTTTAGAAATCACAGACTCCTTTGAAAATGTCTTGAAAGCTATAGAGTTCCTGCCAGAAATAAAAAGACATGTTTCAATATCCTCAAACTTTACACATAATAGCAGGGGACTTAGTGATCCCAAGTTAAATTGAATTTTTTTTTTTTAAAAAGTCCCTGTTCTGCGTAACTATGTAACTATGATACATTACATCAAAGTGAGAATGTTATTAAATATCTTAGCCAGCCTTGGCTGGTATGGCTCAGTTCATTGAGAGTCATCACATGCACCAAAAGGTCACCGGTTCAATTCCCAGTCAGAGCGCATACTTGGATTGTGGGCTTGATCCCCAGTAGAGGGTGTGCAGAAGGCAAGAAATAAGTGTTTCTCTGTCACATGGATATTGCTCTCTCTCTGGGAAAAAAAATATTAAAAGTTTCATTAACAAGTTGTGTGTGAGTGAGTGAGTGAGTGTGTGTGTGTGTATGTGTGTGTGTGTGTGTGTGTGTGTGTGTAAGAGAAAGAGGAAGGGCGAGAGATAGAAACATCAGTACATCGATGAGAGAGAAACACTGATCGGCTGCCTCCTGCATGCTCCCCACTGGAGATTGTGTCTGCAACCCAAGCATGTGCTCTGACTGGGAATTGAACTGAAACCGGGGACCTCTTGGTTCATGGGTCGATGAACAGCCATTGAGCCACACCAGCTGGGCAATAAGTTTTAAAAAAAAAATTCCAGCCAACTGAAGTTATTGGCAAAATTATCAAAGAATATAAGTTTCCTAAGACAAAATTCACGTTTATGATCTTACTTAGATTCTGTGAAAAATGCTTTTAGCCCTTGGAAACAAGGAATTAAAGGGATTCCAAGCATATCCCCAAAAGACGGTGGTGTCTCAGTCAGGGTTCAGTGGTGGAAAAGGAACCTCTTTATTTTATTTTTTATTTTTTAATTTTTTAAAAATATATTTTATTGATTTTTGTACAGAGAGGAAGGGAGAGAGATAGAGAGCTAGAAACATCGATGAGAGAGAGTCATCGATCAGCTGCCTCTTGCAACCCCCCTACTGGGGATATGCCCGCAACCAAGGTACATGCCCTTGACCGGAATCGAACCCGGATCCCTTCAGTCCCCAAGCCGATGCTCTATGCACTGAGCCAAACCGGTTTCGGGAAAAGGAACCTCTTTAGGTAGTTAGTTGAAGCAGGCAGAGACTTAGTGTAGGGAATGAAGTGTTTATAGGGAGCAGATTCTAAGTGGACCTCCCAGAGGCATGTGGGACTGGCCACCAGGGCAGTGCTTGCCTCCACCGCCTACACTAGAGCAACTCATACACACTTAAGAAATTGGGAAATGGTCACCCAAAGCTGCTATCCAGGGATTTAGAAAGGCAGATTAAGAGAGCCCTGCAAGTGCCATTCCTTCCTGACACCCAGAAAACTGGACAGGAACGCTGGAACCTGCAGCAGGAAAAGCAGAAGTGACATCTCTAAGTCACAGGAAGCCCCATCTGCCTCCCTATCAACCTTCAGGATGCAGGCTCCTTTGCAGTCTTTCAAGTAGAAGCAGTCCATCCAGGTATCTGAATGGTGGCTTTTCCACGCAGTGAGGTTCCCTTTGCACCATTGCATAATATGACAAATCAGAATGAAAGGCTGGTCATTCGCTGAACTCTCAGTGATTATTCTCACACCTCTGATAGCTTAATGTAGTATTTTGGAATTTTCTTCAAACTGAATTTACTTTACGTAGGACCTAAAAATAACTTTTTGTATCGATGATAAAGAGTACTTGGTACACATTTCAGTACTACAAGATTCATGAGAAAAGGGGGCAGAGGCTTGACTGGAGTTAAAATCAAAAAGCAAAGAAATTCTTCTGATGTCCTCAAATGCATTTGTTTTTCTTTCTCTTCTTAGGGGCGTTATGGATGTTGTCGTTTCCTTCGAGATGGTTATAAAACCCCAAGAGAGGTTGTATTTATTTATTTATTTATTTATTTATTTATTTATTTATTTTTAAGAGAGGTTGTATTTAAGTAATGTTTCCTAAGATTCCTTAACTGCTTCATATCTAAGTTGCCACTGTGGTGTTCTTCCTCTATTGATTATAGTTACCTGTTAGAATATTGGAAAGAGAAGTCTTAATTTTGGTATTACAAGCCTGGAGTTAGACAATAGAATAGTAAAATCATTAGGAGGACAGCAAGCTGGTGGTTTAAAACCAGCTTGTAGACAGGACAAACAGTTCTGTGGCTCACGTGGGTTTTTAAATACCAACTGTGGCCCCTTCCTTGGGTTTCTTTGCCATAGTTACTGATAGAATAATATCGATAAAATAGTCTGCCAAGCACTGTGAGAGATAAATTGCTATTTATTTGTTAGAGATAGGAAACAATAAACTACCAAGCAATCTTGTGTACATTTCTGATATTTTACCATAGAAAACTGCCAAAAACAGCATCTCCCCATTATAGCAGAATCCTAATTATGTTATACCAACCTCCAAGCTGCATTGAAACAAACAAGTGAGGGAAACCCAGTAAGGTGCAATGGTATTATCTATGTATCTGACATCACCTTTTAGAAGGTTTACCTACTTGATTACAGGACCCAAACCGATTGCATTATGACCCTGCAGAACTCAAGCTCTTTGAAAACATTGAATGTGAATGGCCTGTGTTCTGGACATACTTCATAATTGATGGGGTCTTCAGTGGTGACGCTGTTCAGGTAAGGAGATGCGGGGTATTATGTTTAATCTTCCACTTATCTGTCAAAGGACTTTGCTAGAAGTGGTCTATCCAGTTCACCAACATATTCCCTGTGCCTATGACATAGTAAGTACACAGTAAATATTGTTAATGCAGCATCCATTTGTTCAAGACAGGGTTCTTTAGCATTTGCTGCTATGCATACTTGGGTGAGCAAAACAGATTTGTCTTTATGAAGCTTATGTACATGACTGATACACTCAAAGTTTTGCTGCTTTTTTAACTTTTTCAGATCTGACATTTTTATAACCTGCTTCAATCATGTGTTCTAGGTTGGGGTGAACAATATAAGATTTATTTTAGTTTTTGAAAGCTGGCTCTGCTCAGGAACGCTGGGGGGGGGGTGTGTTGGTGCAGAAACAATAGCAAGCTTGAAATGTTGATATTTCTCGTTGTTTATTCTTACTTTTATGCTGTAGTGATTATCTTGGATCTTAAGATTTCTTTTTATCCCAGAACTGAAAGATCTCAAAAAGACTGAGTTAGAATTTCAATTGTGAATAAGCTTGACAATGATCAGAAACAAAGACTAAGGAGACACAAAAGACTGTACTTAGTACCTTGTTTTCTAGGTCTCATAAAATTTACGACACTTATGCCTACCCTGTCTCTTCTACTTGTTGCCCAATGACATTTAAAAAAAGGATGCACCCCTGGTCATGCTTTGACTGGGCTCTCCAAAGATGAAATGTCTTAAATAGAAGGTGGCTAGTTAAAGTTTTTTTTCCCCTCCCTTTTTTCTCTTCCCTTTTAATATGTAGATTTTTATCATTGCCTTTTACATTTCATGAAAATGTTTACATCAACAGCATCCTAAGAATAGGGGTACATCAATCATGGTATGTATAGTTCCTTGTTCAGCAAGTGTTTCTTGAGCAATAAATATTTGAATGAAGGCCTTGTAGTGTAAAACTTACCTATAGGTGGAAGTGGGATGCACTTCTTATGATCCATCCTCCACTCCAAGAAGCTTATAGTCTAGCTGGTGAGACAAATTATAGTTATTTATTTATTTATTTATTTATTATTTTTTACTTATTTTTTTTAGAGAGGGAGATAGGGAGAGGGAGGAACAAACATTGATGTGAGAGAGATACATCTATCGGTTGTCTCCTTTACTCACCCTGACCAGGGATTGAACCCTCAACCTAGGTAGGTGCCCTGACTGGGAATCAAACCTGTGACCTTCCACAGGACAATGCTCTAACCAACTGAATCATGCTGGCCAGGGCAAGACAAAATTTAAATATGTGAGAAGTTAAGAGTGAAATTTTTAACTCATGGGTTAAAGACCACCCAGAGAAAGAAGAAAAAGGCCATACAGAAAAGACCAGTTGTGTTTCGCTCCTCCTAACACTTGCTGTCAGCAAGAGTCCCGGTTCCTCCTGCCCTCTTTGAGCTAAAGGTATTTGTGCATTTCCTGGACCCGTGTCCTACTTCTAATCTGTTGTCGAGAATGGTGTTTTTCTGTGTTACACTGATGTTACAGCATTAAGGACCCCTTTTTCATACCATTGGGGATCGGACTATTTTCCAGGTCCAAGAATACCGAGAGGCCCTGGAGGGAATATTAATCAGGGGCAAGAATGGGATCCATCTGGTGCCAGAACTCTATGCCATCCCACCTAACAAGGTAATCAGGCATTGCTTATTGAGAACAAAGTGACTTAGTGCTTGGCCTTTTCATATTTTTCACCCCCTTTCCAGAACTAACACTTTTTCTCCAGGAGAAGTGGTTTGTAAAGCCTTCAGCAGTGTTCCTAACTATCACAGAAGTTATGGCTTTGGAGCCATGCTTGCAAAGGGGAGTCCAAGTGAGGCATCAATGGAGGACCTTCCAATGATATCTGTTCCTCACCGGAGCCCAAGGCCAAATGAACCTTCAAATGCACAAAACACTGTTGGACACCATGTCCTCACGCATATCCACAGAAGAAGAAACCAGACAGAATCTTCCTAGGGAAAGAGGAGAGATGTGTAGATAGAGTTGAGAATCTCTTCCTTTGAATTAAGCCATTCCAGAGCTAAAGCTCAAGCAATCACTTAGAAGACATTCTACATCAGGGAGAGAGAAATTATCAATAAAATGCCTAAAGATAGTTGTGTTCTATCCAGTTTCCTATATTGGGCCATGATGGACCTATATATAATAGATCTTGATGGGAAGATTTCCCTATATGTGTGTCATGTTTAGAAGAAAGAATTCTTGATTCAAGGCTGTTTGTCCTTCATCTGTTCCTATTGCTTCATTTCTATATTTGCAGGAAGTAGAGACTTCAAAGAGCATCATATTCCCCCTAATTGACAGGAACAGCAGGCGATCATAATCCAGCAGAAGCTGTCATGCCGTAGCTTAGGTTTAGGGGTTCTGTGGTTAAATCAAGCCCACAAGCACATGATCAGAGAACTGGTAGGGCCTCTGGAATTGTGTGCCTCTGCCCAAAGAGACTCTGGAATCTGTTAGTGCTCAGATAGCACTGGTCCACCTGGGACCGGTCCGGAGGTGCCTCCTAATGGGTAGTACATTTCCAGGTGATGGAGAGTCCCTCACTATAGTTACAGATCAGGCCATAGAGCCTACAAGGGCTCTTTTCACTCTAAGTGTCAGAGACCTAGGCATCCTACAAATGTATTCATATGAATGTGTTGCTGGTGAGGGGCTGACAGTCGGGCCTGGGTAGTTATTTCCCAGCAATGTGTTCAGGTTTCCCATTCCCAATACTAAGGCACTTGGCAGAACAAAAATTGGTAATAGGAGGCCATTTGGATCCTGGAAGCAAAGCAATTGGAAATAAATGACTTCATGGGTATTTTAGCTATTTTATGGAAGAGAATAACCATCCATCTGTGTTCTACTAGAAGGCATGTATTCATGACTATAGTAAATGCTAGGTGTGAACAGTGCTGGCTACATGTTGTAAAAAATTACTCTGCAGCTTTTCTCTCTTCTAAACTTTGCACTGACCTTTAAGCAAGGCACCTATTTTGAACACTATTTTATGTTGGCCATAGTGTGTATAGGTTGCTTCCATAGAACATGTGGGAAGGTTCACCCATCACAGCAGTGGCGTGTAGAAACCACTGCAGATAGGGGACACCCAGATCCATATGGCACCTTTGTGCAAATTAGAAAAAGGACCTCATCCTTGAAGTGGCTGCAGCCCCAGGCCAAAGTAGCATCAAGCCTGGATGTTAGCCTCACTCTTCCTCAACTAGACATGCTTGTACAAAGGGCTACCATCCATGGGGTCCTCCATTGCACAGCTTGAGACTAATTCAAGTTTGCCCAGCAGATACGTATTAAGCAGCTGCTCCGGGCCCGGTTCCAGACTAGATTCTGGGGCACAAAAGGGTTGAATGCCAGCTCTGCCTCTGCAAGCTTGCAGGCTAGTGGGTGGTCAGAGGAGCTAGTCCGGGGATGGAGAGCAGACATAGGAGTGGTGGTGGCAAAGACCTGATGCATTGAAAGACTTGCAAACAGATCAGAAGGGGTGGGAAAGGGGGAGGAGATGCCACTAGAGGGAGGCAGTAGCCAGCCCGTGGGTGGCAACAAGGTAGAGCCAGGCTGTCTTGTGATCCGGACACCTTGCCTGCCTTCTGTTCAGTCTTTCTGGACATTACTTATATTTCAATAGCTTTAACGTACAATCTGATTGTAAAAAGAATCCTGCACACTGCAAAATATCCAGAATTCTGCCAAAAGAAGTAAACACCTATCTTTAATCTTACTACCCAAAGATAACCACTGTGACATTTTGGTGAATCTCATTTCATACTAGTATCCTATTTGGTTATTTGATTGCTGGTGATGTTTAATTCTGTTTAGTGTATGATCTTCAGGTTTTCTTAATGTTTGTCACTATAGCAAATCTTAAAATTTTTATGAAGTATATTAATAACATCACTGATTAACACACAAAGAATGATTGCCCTCGTAGTGTGATTTTCCCCTTTGGAGAAGGATAAATGTGTCTACTTCCTTTGATCGACTGATATTTTCTGGAAGGAAAAAAGTTTTCACTGACATTACTCCCAACCAACGTTGTACTGAATAAAAACCCAAAGGTCAGCATGGAGTTTACAACAGAGAAAGTTGTAGACTAACTCTTAGAGTGCATAGCCAGTACTGTCCATCAAAAAGAGAACTGTAACTTATTTAGATGAGTCAAGAGCCCCCAATGGATTCAGCTTTGTGAATCCCTGATGAAAACTTCCTGATCCAATAGTACAATTGTTCTTTTCTCAATAAATAGTGCCACCTTCTGGTAATTTTCTTGTGTAAGCATACAGTTTATGAACTCCTGGGGATAGCAAAATCAAAGAAGACTTAGCATCAGTGATGTACTGCCATGGCAGAAGGCTGATGCTTTATTTTATTTTATTTTTTAAATGCCTCAACCCATTTTTATTTTATTTTTAATATATTTTATTGATTTTTACAGAGAGAAAGGGAGAGGGATAAAGAGTTAGAAACATCGATGAGAGAGAAACTTTGATCAGCTGCCTCCTGCATACCCACTACTGGGGATGTGCTAGCAACCAAGGTACCTGCCCTTGACCAGAATCGAACCTGAGACCCTTCAGTCCGCAGGCTGACGCTCTATCCACTGAGCCACACCGGTTAGGGCAGAAGAAGGCTGATGTTGTAGATCATTGTATCCAAAATACAGCCAGATGTAAGCATGAGCTGTGCAACTTCTTGTTGCCTGGAGCTGTGCTCAAAGAAGGCTGGCCAGGCTTCCAGTGTCTGTCTCTCTGCCTTCTGCCATCAGTGTGCCTGTGGGCAGAGCACTGTCCTGGGACCAAGGCCCAGATATGAGTTCTGCCTCTGCTGCTTTCACTACCACCAGCACAAAGGTTTAGCCTCCTTGGCCTCCCAATTCCAGCTCTCGCACAGAATTGGCCTGGGGAAGCAAATGAGTAGCATTTTGTAAATCCTCAATGTGCCCTCTAGTGTATGGTGACACTGGCCTTTTTATCCTCTGACATTCTGACTTTAGGATTTTCTCTCTTTGCCAGGTAGACGAAGAGTATAAGAATCCTCACACGGTGGACAGAGTTCCTCTGGGGAAGCTGCCCCATCTGTGGGGTCAGTCCTTGTACATCCTCAGCTCACTCTTGGCAGAGGTAGGCAACTTGGGGGCTTCACAGATGGGGAACCGAAAGAGCACAGTGGCTCTCTGTCCACTATTGCGGTGAATATCTTTGGCATCTTCATGGCTTTAAAGTCAGCTCCTCTGAAGTATTCGTTACCATTGTTCTCTTCACTCACATAAGATGGTGGCATATTTGACTAGCTGTAGAGAGCGAGGTGCCGAAGTCATAACACATTTATCAGTGCCTATCTAAATGATCTATGTGTTTCAGAGAAAATAAGCAATAGACTTGAAATATATAAGGGAATAAGTACTGAATAGTTTGAGCCCCAAAATATGTCATTTTCAAATTTAGGTTAAATGTTGGTTAATCGATATTTCATAGTGTTAATGCTCCTTTTTCCCCCCTAGGGATTCCTTGCCACTGGTGAAATTGACCCCTTAAATAGAAGATTTTCCACTTCTGTTAAGCCTGATGTTGTGGTACAAGGTTTGTGAGCGTGTTTACTATTTTTATTTAACTTTGTAAAACCCATGTGCATTTTTTGCTTGATTTTTTTTATTGAATTTATTGGGGTGACATTGGTTAATAAAATTATATAGGTTTCAGGTGTACAGTTCAATAATACATCATCTGCACATTATATTGTGTATTTAGCACCCCTAATCAAGTCTCCATCCATCATCATTCATCCCGCTTTTACCCTTTTTTTACTTCCCTCTGGCAATCACCATACTGTTCCCTCTGGCAATCACCATACTGTTCCCTCTGGCAATCACCATACTGTTGTCTGTGTCTATGAGTGCTTTTTTCAATTCTTTTACCTTTTTCACCCAGCTCCAAAACCCCCCTTCCCTCTGGCAGCTGTCAGTATGTTCTTTGTATCCATGAGTCTGTCTTTATATTGTTTATTAGTTTATTTTGTTCATTAGATTCCACATGTAAGTGAAATCATATGGTACTTGTCTTTCTCTGACTGGCTTATTTCACTTAGCATAATACTCTCGCAGTCCATCCATGCTGTCCCAAAAGGTAAGATTTCCTTCTTTTTTATAGCCAATTAATATTCCATTGTGTAAATGTACCACAGCTTTTTTATCCACTCACCTACTGTTGGGCACTTAGGTTGCATCAAAATCTTGGCTATTGTAAACAACACTGCTATGAACATAGAGGTGCATATATTCCTTCTAATCATTGTTTTAGGATTCTTAGGATAGATTCCTATGGAATTGCCTTATGATCCCGCGATTCCACTTCTGGGAAAACCCATGTATTTTTAATGCAAATGTTCCCTGATTTTCTATTGTTTAAGTGTGTATGATATATGTATGCTTTAGTGTATATTAATTTGTAACATCATAGCAGAACACATTACTCACATGTTTGTGGTGATGCAGGTGGCATGTGCTAGCATGGAAGCTATGTCCTTTGGGAGCAGGGGCACAGGTTTCTCCTGGTACTCCCATGTGCAGCTGTCTCTACTCCTGACCACATGTGAAAAGAACACCAGGCAGGTTTAGAATAAATGTAGATCCAGGGGGATGCAAGACATCATATGAAATGGGGTAATTTGACATGGTATCTGTTGAAGACCATTTTTAGAATCTCTTATCAGACTGTCATGTACATTGTAAGTACATGAAATATGCATCATGAGAGTTGAGAAGAGGCAAGGCCAGAGAGAATCAGGAAGAGCAGCAGTACATGTGCTGTCATTTTCAAAGACACTTAGTTCATGGAGAGCATGCTAATGTGTATATCACAGGCCAGAAAAAAGGTCAGTCAATGATACATATATCCATGTGAGGAGACAATGGCCGCAATGTAATGAAGATTTTGTGTTCTTATTTGCAGTGACTGTTCTGGCAGAAAACAACCACATTAAGGACTTGTTGAGGAAGCATGGAATAGACATCCAGAGTATTGCTGACATTCACCCAATCCGAGTCCAACCAGGCCGGATCCTTAGTCACATATACGCCAAGCTGGGTAGGTTTGGGGAAATAGGGCATGTTTGGCAAGGAGGCATCTCTGTTCTAGGCTTTGGATCTGGGGGGAGACTGTGATATGTATACATTCTTTAGAATTTTGTGCAAAGCCCTATAGCAGACGGTTTGATCACTTCCATGTGAAGAAGAATGGGCAAACAAGCATGTTCTCCTCATGCTGGTTCAGTAGATGTCACCACAGGTTGGCCATGCGATTTACCAAATCTGTTGTAAAATATGCAGCCACCTTTGAAAAATTCACAATTGGAACAGTCATTTGTGTCTTGATAACGTTTTAATTTTCATCTAGAGTCTCAGAAAAATGGTCATTTACCCATTAAAATAGGAGGAGGTTCTCTTTACTTTTTCTAAAATCTGACTTCGTTTAGTAAATTAGAAGTAAACATTAATTAAATTTTTGCAACAGTTTTCTTCTATATAGATGTTGAATCAGGTACTTCTCATATACATTCATGAAAAGGGGGTGAGACTTGTTTTTAATTCATCTTTATCCTATTTAAAGATGTACTGGTGTTAGAAAAATCAAACCCCACAATGGGTTGTTTGACATAAAAATATGTTCAGTGTTAGCTGAAGTCAGTTGGATTAGATGTTACTGTATTTACTCTAACACCATTTCTCTTTTTTTTCCAAATAGGACGCAATAAGAATATGAAATTGAGCGGGCGACCATATAGGCACATTGGCGTCCTTGGAACATCTAAACTCTATGTGATTAGGAACCAAATATTTACTTTCACACCTCAGGTGAGAAGAGCATGCCAGTAGGAAACCAACAAGCATCTTTTCATTAAGCTCTCTTTTCTGGCTGGTGAGCCATTTTGAATGTGGTAGAATGTACATGCATATGTTCAAATAGAGACATTTAGGATGACACCCATTACCCTAGTACAATTCTTTACTCATAGTAGATGCTCAATTATTGGGCTTGGATCAAATTGAGTGTGTCATAACTTCCAGTCATTAGTAGTGAAATTCACACCACTTTATAAATTTGCTAGTAACATATCACTTGCCTCATAGCCCTTGTGCCCCTAATGACAAGAGTCCCTCACCTTGCTTAAGTTGTGTTCAGACCCTCTGTAACACACAGCCCATCTGATTTTCAGGCCCCAACCACCTTTATGGGATCCTGACTATACTGATTATGGAACTTTCAGAGTTTTTGTTTCAAAAACAAAACAAAACAAAACAAAAACTTGTCCTCTGGAACCCAAACCAAACGTTTTCCATCCATTTGGGCAGCTAGAAAGACCAACTGTGGTACCACTTTGTCAACATGGAGCACAGCGCCCCCGCTACCTAGGCACATAGTCGGGTCAGTAGCCCCGAATTGTTCTTTTTCACCCTAACCCACACTGCTCACTTCAATCTTGTGAGTTATTTCTGTTCCCAACACATTGCAGACCAGAGCATGAACTGAGCAAAAACTGGTCCAGAGGCCGGAAGACCAATTTGATTTTCATTGACATCAGGGCACAGTGCCTTTAGTTCACATTAGCCAAGCCATCCATCAGGTAATCATAATTCCCACATCTCGGTTGCTCTCGGTGCCCTCACTTGGAAAGCAACTCCGAGCCCAGCAGCCCTGGAGGAGTAAGAATTAGGGAGTTATTGATTTCCTTTAGGAGACAGTGATATTGGGCCTGGTGCTTATGTCCGCATCTGAGGAGTTGTAAATAGATTTAGCCATGCAACTTTCCCTTCCACAGCTCCTGTGCAGGGGACAGGTCGATTTGTCTGAGAGCCCCCTGATAGCTGGATTATAACCAGGATTGAGCTGTTTCTCTGGAAACATGGCACAAGGATTAGCGCTGCCGTGAATGACAGCTGGGGTCGTGTCGAGGGAAATGAAGGACAACCGCTTACTGGGCCCGTTCTGATTTGCAGTTTACCGACCAGCATCACTTCTATCTGGCCCTGGACAACGAGATGATCGTGGAGATGCTGAGGATTGAGCTGGCTTACCTGTGCACCTGCTGGCGGATGACGGGCAGACCCACACTCACCTTCCCGATCACCCACACCATGCTCAGTAATTCCATGAACTTGATCTGCCTGAATCACATCCCACTATTGGGTTGGGCCCTTGTCCCAGTGTTTAAAATAGCTCCTGTGGACAGAGCTAAGTATTGAAGGGGTTTTTCAGCAGTTCAGTCTCTTAGCTCAGGACTCTTCTATGACATAGGTATTTAATTAGGTTGTGTTGATGAAAACATTTCAGTGCATGCCTCCTCCCTCATCCCCCCACCACAAAGAAAGTATTCCTAGATGAAGTAAACTAACTCATCTTTTCCTCTTTCCCCCTTAGCAAATGATGGCTCAGACATTCATCCTGCAGTTCTTTCTACAATTAGAAAACTAGAGGATGGATATTTTGGAGGAGCTAGGTAATTTATGATTTTTTTTTAAAGTAACTTTCTTAACGTCCTTTTGCTGCCCTTCTCCCATTTTTCATGTCAATTGTTAAACAGAGAAGCGTGGTGTTTAAGGTAAGAAGGAAGTTAAAACTTATTGACTCCAGTGACCCATGTGAAACTGGAATAATCTCTAAAGCAGCATTCGGTGGGTGTTTGTGAAGGTTTTGTGGACACCAGGAGGCCTGGGGCAAAAAGAGGTAAACATATCAATTCTCTGAAGTGGCATTCCTGGAATGCATGTATGGAATTCTGTGCTGTTTCTAGTAAAAGACATGAAAGAAAAGACCAAGTGCCTAAGATCTAGTAGTTGCTCAGTAAATGCTTCTTGAATTGACTTGAGTGTGCAATCACCTGAAGAATTATTCACAGAACTTTACAAATTCCTTAGCGGTCCTCACAGCAGAGCACCTGAATATGCCTAGACCAGTGGTCGGCAAACTCATCAGTCAACAGAGCCAAATATCAACAGTACAAGGATTGAAATTTCTTTTGAGAGCCGAAAACCAACTTCTGCTCATGGGCCACAAAGCTTCAATAGCACTGTACGTGCGCGCCTGCATGTGATATTTTGTGGAAGAGCCACACTCAAGGGGCCAAAGAGCCTCATGTGGCTCACGAGCTGCAGTTTGCCGACCACTGGCCTAGACCATTGTCCCCTCATCTCAGTGGAATGAAACCCATTCCTTTGTAGGCCCACGGTATGGCAGAAGCTCCCAGGTATTATGGTTAAGCATCTTGAGTGATGGGGGCTCACTTCCCAGTAAAACCCCGGGTTTTTTTTCACCCTCTGACTGTCAGAAGGCAGAGGTTTTCTCTGGAGCATCTATGCCCTGGCCTCTCTGAATTCCCTGGGATATGCCAGAAGGGTCCCAGGAGAACCTCACTGGGAAGCCAGCCCCTCGAAGGCTCAGGGAGGCTTCCATTTGGTCCCTGATGGAATGCCACTTGCTACATTTGAGTGGGCCTTAAAATAAGGTGACCAGACAGTCCCACTTTTGGCCGGACAGTCCCGATTTTTCACAATTTGTCCTGCAGCCCGTCACTGCGGGACGTGGGACAAATTGTTAAAAATCGGGACTGCCCTGCCAAAAGCGGGACGTCTGGTCACCTTGCCTTAAAATCAGCCCTTCTTCTCACATCCTCCCATACTGGAGACCCTGATGCCACAGTCACTTTTTCAAATTGTGGTCAAATCCACATAAAATAAAATGTACCACTAACCATGTTTAAGTGTACAGTTCAGTCCTGTTAAATACATTCACATTGTTTGTAACCAACCTCCAGAACTCTTCATCTTATAAAACTGAACCTCTGTGCTCATTAAACAGCTCTCCATTTTCCCCTGCCCCAGCCCCTGGGAACCACCATTCTATTTCTGGTCTCTTGGTAGCAAGTGGGCTCATCCAGTATTTCTGTCTTTGTGACTGGCTCATGTCTTCAAGGTTGAGTCACTGTGCTGGGCTTGGTACCTCTGCTCACAGACCTACTGCAAGTTTTGCTCTAGACTTGAAGGGACTCTCACTCTGAGCTGCTCCTGGCCTCTCTCAGGAGTGTCAGTGAGTCTGTCCACAACATTTTGCCGTCTACATTTCCAGCACTAGTGCCATACCTGCAGTTGACACCCACATTCATCCATTTTACCTCCCGTCTGAATAAGTTACCACCTGGTGTACAGCATCTTAACTCGGAGAAAACACCATATGCCCATAATTAACTGTTTTTCAAAATTATATATGAATTGAAATATAATCATTGTCAAAAGGACCACTGTAGTTAATGGAGCACTTGCAATGTGTTCTCTGTTGCTTGGTACTCATTGCCACATTTAATTTTCACTTTGTCACGTGGGCTGTATTCCCACTTTAGAAAGAAGGAGCAGTCACCTCAGAGAGCCAGCGCACAAGACAAATGGGTGCAGAAGCTCTGTGTGAATCCAGAAACCAGGCCCTAATCCCTGGAGCTGGCGGCAGGCTTCTAGGAATTGAGAGAACCTCCCATTTACAGAGTACAATGATTCAGAGAACCAGGGAGCCAAACAGGAATGCCTACCTTTCCTACTGAGTTCTTTCAACATAAGAAACCTTCAAACCTGTAAAGAATTTTTGTGAGTTTATTTGAACCGAAATATGGCAATTGCCAGAAAGCCAAGTCTCAACATCATGAGATAAAGCTCCAGAGAATGGCAGTTTTGCACCTTATTTTATACATTACAATCCAAAGAGAAGATGTAAGTGGGTTACATGAAATTCATTGGTAATAGATTAAGGAGGCGGGAGAAAGCAGAGGAGAGAAATCTCTGGGACTGGGTAAAAAGTAAAATGATAAAGCTGATACATTGGTGGGTACAGGATAGTTAATAATCAACAACATGATAAAAATAACAATGAGAGGATTTGTAGTATCTGCTCTGGTGCATTGGTTGTGCCCAGAGGGACCAGAAAAAAAAGGGGAAGTTACCCTGACTTTAGAAAGGTATGTTATCATAGATGCAAAAGAGAATAGACAGGCTGTTAAGGTAAAGATTGACCTTTGTTAGGCAAGATTCTAGTCTAGGAGAGGACTATCTGCCATAAACTTTTAGTTCAAAGGCTTTAATTTCAGACCTTCCTTTGTAATAGTTATGTTAGGTCTCCAAATTTGCAAGGTTGCCACACAGGCCTTCCCTGAGCTTGTCAAGTTAGCACATGGCCCCTTTTTGTCCAGAGCAGTTACAACTAAATCTCATTTTGCTTTTTCCTTTGTGGCTGAGGGTCTTGTAAAAGCTGAATTCACCCTAGATGCTGGTCTCAACTTCCTGGAACCAACTGGGGTAGCTTGCTATCAAATTACTGCCTTTCGACCTTTGACCTGACATCTTTCAACTTAATCAGAGGGAAACTTTCCACTGTCTCTTTTCCTGGTCTACCTCACCAGTCCCGTTCCCCAACCTCAGGACAAAACCATCACCTGAACTGACTCCAGGGATCTGGGGGGAAAGTTATTACTTTATCAAGAGAAGTCTTTTCTTGTCCTCAGGCCTTGTTTATGATGTAGTCCATTTGCCCATTGAAGCTCAACCACCTATGAATTCATTTGCATCACTGCTTTCATTTATTTCTTAAAGGGTTCTCAAAGTCATATTCTAATGCTAGTAGCTCCAAGGCATCTTACTGCCTCCAGATGTAACTTTTTTAAAAAATATTTTATTGATTTTACACAGAGAGGAATTGAGAGGGACAGAGAGTTAGAAACATTGATGAGAGAGAAACATCGACCAGCTGCCTCTTGCATACCCCCCACTGGGGATGTGCCCGCAACCAATGTACATGCCCTTGACCGAATCGAACCTGGGACCCCTCAGTCCGCAGGCCGACGCTCTATCCACTGAGCCAAACCGGTCCCTGTCAGATGTAACATTTTTAAGAAGCACACAGAAGGGGTTTTCTTTTTTTTTTTTTTTAAATACATTTTATTGATTTTGTACAGAGAGGAAGGGAGAGAGATACAGAGTTGGAAACATCAATGAGAGAGAGTCATCGATCAGCTGCCTCTTGCACATCCCCTACTGGGGATAATCGCAACCAAGGTACATGCCCTTGACTGGAATCGAACCCGGGACCCTTCAGTCCCCAAGCCGATGCTCTATCCATTGAGCCAAACCGGTTTCAGCAAGGTTTTCTTTTTGTAGTGTGGACACCCCACTATACCCCGAACCTGAAGGTGAACCTGCAGAACTCAAAGGCTGGTGCCTTTGTAGCGGGACCCCACACTGGCAAAACCATCTCTCAGTTTTCATGGACCTTTTCCTAGCCTGGTAATATACCAGGGCACTCTGAACACTTACTCTGGTTTGGGCTGGCCCACCCCTCACATTCCTTTTAGACCAGTGATTCTCAACCTTCCTAATGCTGCGACCTGTTAATACAGTTCCTCATGCTGTGGTGACCCCCACTATAAAATTATTTTCGTTGCTGCTTCATAACTGTAATTTTGCTACTGTTATGAATCGTAACATAAATATCTGTGTTTTCTGATGGTCTTAGGTGACCCTGCTAACGGTTCTCAACCTGTGGGTCACAACACACAGGTTGAGAACTGCTGCTGTAGAGCCTAAGACCGCTGGAAAACACAGATATTAACATTATGATTCATAATAGTAGCAAAATTACAGTTATGAAGCAGCAACGAAAATAATTTTATAGTGGGGGTCACCACAGCATGAGGAACTGTATTAAAGGGCCTCGGCATTAGAAAGGTTGAGAACCACTGTTTTAGACAGAACTTGGGCTCTGAGATGTGCCATCTGCCCCTGCGTGACCCCATTGCATGGTAGGGACTCAAATAATGGCACAAGTACAACCAGAGAATCATTGCTTATAGTTTTGTTCTGATCCAGTCACTGAGGGGGAAAAAACAAAACAAACAACAACAACAACAAAAAAAACTCCAAAAGTTTGGTTCTGGTTAAAAGTGATTCGCTCAATATGTTTTTATTTTTAATTTTTTTGTTCAGTATGCTTTGTAAAACTTTGGTTGGTTCAGTAAAATTTATTTCTGTTTGTGTTGGGCTCAGGGATAAGAAATCAGCGTGATTCATTTTGGCTGTTAATATGCTGTGTACTTCCACTTTATTCTTGCTATTGAATTTTCATTTGAATTGCTTGGCTGACTGCTGCAGAACGACATATTTATTGATCCTGGCCGAAGGGCTACCTGATTCTTGAAAAGTATTTCCATGATTCATTAGTGGAAGTTTGTCCATGTGCACCTATATCTCTAACATAGTGTCTCCTTGGCAGAGTAAAATTAGGGAGCCTTTCGGAATTTCTCACCACGTCTTTCTACACGTATCTGACCTTCCTGGATCCAGACTGTGAGGAAAAGTTATTTGATGATGATTCCAACGAAGGGAGCATCAGTCCTGATAGCGATTCAGATTTGGGAGGATATTTCGAAGAGTCTTACAATCGAGGTATAGCTAGGAATGCCTTTGCAGGCTGTTCATTGAACTTAATGAAACCTTAGCATTGTGGTAGAATTGCCCTAAGACACAAACACAGAAAATGATTGTTCGTTAACCTGACAAAAAAAAGGCTTTGGGAACTTGTAGGCATTAAAACAAATACAATGCCACTTTCAAAACCTCAACTACGGGGGGGGGGGGGGGGGGGGGGGCTTTTTAAAACCTAGAGTGACAAAGAGTTTCAGGCATGAGGACTTTTCACAAAATATACAAAATTCTAAATACAAAAACCCAGGGCTTGAATTTTCAAAGGAATATCAGAATGATCTAGGTTTGGTTGGATATGAGAGCTGAAATCCTACGTGCATAACATTTCTCAAACTGAATAGGATTTGGGGTTGAAGTGACCTGCTTTTTTACTCTGGGATAGTACTTGGGATTGGGGCTGGGGATTCCATAACGCTTAGCTCACTCATGACAAATTAAAATAAAAAGCAGGTGTCAGCTGCTGGCCCTCAGGGTGCCTTACATATTCAGTTCATGTTGTAATGCTCTCATATGTACACTATCTTTTCCTAGGATGGAGTTGTTTTTTTCAAACAGTAGCTTTATATGTGTAAGTCTCCTCACTTGGAGAAGGGTGTAAATATCTTCCACTAAATTTACCTAGTGCTGTGTGCTACACATAATCACTATGATGCCTCTAGGATATTTCTGTAGCTTGTTTTCATTGGCTCTTTTGCTTGCCTGTCCAATTGCAGAAAGCCAGGATGAACTTGACCAGTATATCAACAACCTCCTGCAGAGCACATCGTTGAAATGCTACCTGCCCTCTCTTCGTAAGAAGACTTCAGAAGACACCCATGTTTTCAGTGCTATCCACTCCACTCGGGATATACTTTCCGTGATGGCAAAAGCAAAGGGTTTGGAAATTCCATGTATGTTATTAACTCTTTTCTGCCTGTTCAAATACATTTTTAATCAAAGTCAAAGATTCCAGAGAGACAACAAAATACAGATGTTTTCTCCCTCACCCCTCCCCTCTCTACTGTCCCCAGTCCTTCTTAGAGGCAACCACATTCAACTCTTATTTATTTCTTCTGGCATTTATATAGCTCCACATTTCTAAGTTAATTCTAAAATAATGTGTATGTACTGCTGTCTTTTGATGCATTGACTTTATTTAGTATCTGTTGACTTTCTCTTATGGGGTGAGGTTTTAGCTGTCTTAAATCACCACCTCTCGCTCTGCTTCACTTTCCCTAGCAGTCAGATATAGATGTATTAAAACTAAGTTAAATCAGTACTCACTCTTTATTCTATTGTTTGTATGCAAATATTATTCTCAACTGAGCATTACAGTATACTATAATTATATTGTTTTTTACTTTTTTTTTCTAAAGCTAATAGTTGCCTTATCTTTTAATTTGCCTTGCTTCCTTTTTATACTTTCCAATGGCCTCTTAATATAAATTTCCACCAGGTCAATCATACCTAGGAATTTTTTCATTTCACTATTTTAAATTTATTTTTAATAAACCTTTAATGATAACATCCAAAGGTGGTTGGAAAACATATATCTTAATGCCTGGCAGTGGCAAAGTGAAACACATATTTTGTAGGAAGCCCAGACACCTTGATTATGAGAAGGCCAGTGACCTTGTACAAATGACCTACCCTCTCTGGTTCTCAGTTTTTTCATCTGAAAGAAAAAGAAATTGGGCTTAATCATTTCTAAGGCTCAGTCCAGTCCTAAGACGCTATGTAATTTACCCCTGAATTCCAGAAGGCAAAAGTGAAATTTTACTCCTTAAAGCAAGATCAATGTCCTGCTCATGTGTTTCCAGCACATGATGTAGCTACATGATAAATTGTTGTTGAAATAAAACTAATTAAGTAATCACTTTTTAAAATTGTTTTGTATTGAATGAGGAGTTAACTACTACTGTACCTCTTCAAAGAAGTATTTTCTCTTTCCTCCTCCTCAAAAGAATGCTCTTTATTTTTTGGTTTTCCAGTTGTTCCCATGACTTTGCCAACTAAAGCTCTAAATACACACCGTAAATCGTTGAATCTTGTTGATTCTCCTCATCCACTCCTAAAACAGGTAAAATTTAGAATCACTTTGCTAACAAATGTAATATTCCTTGATGTTGGTGTAATCCCAAGAAATCTTTTACATGGTTGAACTCAAAAGAAAGCATATTTCTTGATATCCAGAACTTTTAGGATTAGAAGTTCTGCTTTTCCATATGAACCGACTCAGTTGTCTAAAATCTGCTTTGTGTCAGTATGCACATTGAATTTGATGCAAACTTTGATTTTCTGCATGTAGGAAAATGCTACTGACTTTTTGCCCACTCATCAGAATCTATGTCACACTGCAGGAAATAAGCTAGCTCACTACCTAGCCCTGTTCTGTCTGTGCCAGCCAGCCAAGGCTGGCAACATGCAGGATGGGGTACAAAATCAGAAAAGACTCCTCAGGGGAATAAATCTCAGGGTGTTTCCCACTGGTTCCCATAATCTTTTTATCCAGAAATCTCCTTTGATTTTATCCCACATGAATAGAGAGATTCAGTATCTATTGGAGAATATTTTAACCTAACCTCAATTTTAGGTTGTTTAAAACTCACCTACTTTTTGCATTTGTTTTTTTTTTAAATATTTTATTGAGTATTACATATATAGAAAAGTGTGCAGAGTGTAAGCATCCAAGCTCAATGAATTATCACCACACCAGTAGACACAGGTAAATGACCACTCTTTGTACTTTTCCCAGTTGCTTCCACCCCTCCACTCTAAAGGTAACTTTGGATAGCATAAGTTCTAACACCCGGGGTTAGTTTTGCTGGTTTTGAACTTGGCATAAATAAAACTCATCCATATTTTAACCTGTTCAGCCCCGTGTCTTGCAAACATTGACTAATGCAGTGATCCACTGATCAAAAATAGCAAAGCACATACATAAAAAGCTACAAAAGATTTACTGAAAACCTGGAGTATGGTGACAGAGTTCCAAGACCAGGTTGATGTGTCACTTCGGATCTGAAAGTGTGCATGCTCAGTTCTTCTCCCCTGCTTTTTGGTTTTCGTAGGGTCCGGTCCCCGAAGGTGACTTCCAGTGGCCCAGAGATGGTCATGGCGATATGGACTGTGAGAAGCTGGTCGAGCAGCTGAAAGACTGTTCAAACCTACAGGACCAAGCAGACATTCTGTACATTCTGTATGTGATAAAGTAAGTTTCTGGTCTTTGCTAGTCCGAGCTTTCCTCCATCTCCTTGATTCTGTCTTGGTCTTTTTGGCCTACCAGCAAGCTGGGTCATGAATATATTACCCAAATTACCCAGGATCACTGCCAACAGACTTCTATCCCCTTTACTGTCTATTCATGCTGGCTTCTCAGGACGAGGAGGCTAGGTGAAGCCAGGATCTCACTGTTTCCCGATGTTAGGCTTCTGTTTCCAGTGGACAGAGGGATGCATTGGTAAGACTCAACCCAATCCCGAGACTCGGAGGCAGTAGGAGGGCCCCGAGCATTGGCAGAGCATGTGGTGACTCATCCCCCTCCTTGCCACGGGAGCTCCGCTGCAAGAGAATGCAGACTATAAACGTTGTGGGCCACACTTCTAGGGTTTTCTCTCAACAGGGGCCCCAGCTGGGACACAAATCTCTCCGGACAGCATGGAGTCACAGTTCAAAACCTCCTCAGTGAGCTCTACGGGAAAGCTGGCCTGAACCAGGAGTGGGGTTTGATCCGCTACATCTCTGGCCTGCTCAGGAAGAAAGTGGAGGTCCTGGCCGAGGTCAGAGCCACTGCGCTGGCTGTCGGTCTGTCTTTTCTAGCCCCATGCCCTCTTCCTTTTTTTTTTTTTTTTTTTTTTTGAAAGCTTGAGGCAAGCACCTCTTATTTGTAAAGGAAACAAGTTATTTAATATACGGGTGGAGCGGGCTCTCCTCTCCGGACCTCCCACTGCTTCTTGGAAGGCGAGCAGAGGAAATGAAATGGAAGTTGATTCAGTTTGTTCCTTCTTAGCTGCAGAAAGAGGTTTGCCGAGAAGTAAAACAAAAATGCTCTGTGGCCTGGCATCCTCTTAAACACAGCTCTCTTATTTCTGTACAACCACGCTATAATCATCATTAATCTCTTTAACCTTCTGGCCCTGCAAAATCCAGAACTGCTTTCTAAGACATTACAGTTCAGTGATATGGTAAGGAGGTGGCGTTTATTATATGTGAATGATGGGGAAACTGACAATTTAAGACTATAATATGGTCATTAACTCTTCACATTGGTATTTCAGGACTCACAACGGCCCAATCCCTTGTAGCATATCAGGAAATCCAGTGTATTGGCTACAGTAGCTGGGCGTTAAATACCCACCATCAGGGCCTGCAGAGCCAGCCTTGAGCCACATATTGGGAGCACAAAGGTCACAGAAAGTTCACAGGGATGCAGCCCTGCCTGGGTTGCTCAATCTGGGGTCTAGGAGTGAATTTTTCAAATACATGGCAACGTGTGTCATACATTTTGTAAAGGCAAAAAGTTATGATCTTGTTGGAATACCCTTCCCCTTTGAATTTGCTCACTTCCTCCTCTCCCTCTCTTCCTCCTTTTCTCCCTCACCCATTCCCCTCAATGAGTAGGCCTGCACAGACCTGCTGTCCCACCAGACGCAGCTCACAGTGGGCCTGCCACCAGAGCCTCGGGAGAAGATCATCTCTGCGTAAGTCTTCAGCCTGGGGGCCTTGGGTTTGTGGGGGCCACGGGAAAACACCAGTGCCATCCGCCACTCAGAAAGAGGGTCTCCTTAAAGACACCGTCACTCCGGAGCTCCCAGCAGGAAAATAAGGGCCTTCCACAGAGGGCGAGGAGACACCTCTTAGGTATCTTTCATGGTGTTTGTGTCCTGACACTCTTTCCTAGGCCCCTTCCCCCGGAGGAGCTCACAAAACTCATCTATGAAGCCAGTGGGCAGGACATTAGTATCGCCGTCCTCACACAGGTCCGCTGGCTGGAGGAGGGGGGGTGGGCAGGGCTCTCCAGGCCTCCGCCACCACCTGCTTTCTGAAACGCCGTGTCCATGTGTGTCTGTGGCAGGAGATTGTGGTCTACTTGGCCATGTACGTCCGGGCTCAGCCCAGCCTCTTCGTGGAGATGCTCCGGCTCCGGGTCGGACTGATCATTCAGGTGATGGCCACGGAGCTGGCGCGGAGCCTGAACTGTTCAGGTGCAAAGGGTGGGCGGGCCCGCGGAAGGCTCCTGTGGTCAGTCCAGGGGAACCCCGCGCAAGCACTCCGGAACCCAAGCTTTTGTGCCTTTGCACATGCTATTGCTTCACCTGGTTCTCTAGTTTAGACAGAACTTCCACCAGGCCATCCTGTTGAATTTCTTGTCAGGGAAAAAGGCATTAGAATCTTCTGTCCTGCTCCTTACATCTGAGTTCCTCACTGCAGCTCCTTGCAGTGAGGTCATCACCTATTTAATAACACCTCTGTTGGGACAAATCCTACCAACTGAAATCTGTGAATGAATCACAAGACACATTCTAATAGCAGGATCATTACATGTGAAAATATGCCTGTGACAGGAAAATACATAACTTAAACAGCAGCATTTAGAATCACCAAGGAACAGTACATGTCAGCCCTCAAGCAGTAGAGAAGTAATCCTGAGTAGGGAAAGCTGCCAGAGCATCCTTTGTCACCCCAAGGCCCAACCAACTCTGCCTTCACCTACCACCATCCTTGTGTCCGAGATACTTACCAAATGTTTGTTTTTAGGAGAAGAAGCTTCTGAAAGTTTAATGAACCTCAGCCCTTTTGATATGAAAAATCTCTTGCATCATATTCTAAGTGGAAAGGAATTTGGCGTTGAGAGAAGCAGTAAGTAAATGCTCATCTTACCTCTGTGGGGAGGAGAGCAGAGAGGGCCTGATGGATGCATCCAGCATCGCCTGAAATGGCTTCGTTGATATACAACCTGACATCAGTAATTGCAATGTAGGGCATAATGCATAAGGGTAAGGTTCCTACTTTACCGAGATGGACAAAGTCCCAGGGACAAGGTCTCGGCTTGTGGGGCTTAGTGACCCTCGTAGACTTGCTGGGACAGCCCTGGTCCCGCGCGGATGTGGTGAGCACACCTCTGCACCTTGGTCTGCTGCCTTCCTCCTCCTGTCAGGTCCATGTACTGTCACTGTGCACAGGTGTTAGGAGGGGTGAGTTAATCAGGGTGGAATGCCTGTCTTTTCTGAATGCCTGAGGGCGCCACCTTTGGTTTGGACAGAAGTGTCCTCAAGCAGCCGAACTGGTTTGGCTCAATGGATTGAGCATCAGCCTGAGGACTGAAAGGTCCCAGGTTCAATTCCGGTCAGAGGCATGTACCTTGGTTGTGGGCACATCCTCAGTAGGGGTGGTGCAAGAGGCAGCTGATTGATTATTCTCTCTCATCAATGTTTCTAACTCTCTATCCCTCTCTCTTCCTCTCTAAAAAATCAATAAAATATATTATAAAAAAAAAAGTGTCCTCAAGCAGATCCTAGTCCCCTCTATGGGGCTCAGAGAAGACCCCTCTGCAACCTCACAATGCCTTCTTGCTGAGTGACTTTGCTTCCTCCCCGGACGGCCCGTTCCGTTTTTATCTATCCCCACACCCTGTTTGCAGTGTTAGGAAATATAATCACCCAAGTCCTGGTGGAATACTGTTCTCAAATGCTCTCTAATTGTAATTGAAGCAATTATCATTTCTCCTCATAATAGAGCGAAATGATTTGCAGACACATTTGTGAATTTATTTAATCAAGCCAAAGAAATGCAGCGTGGGTTGTCATTCTTTCTATTTAATAAGAAGGACATTGGGTACTTAATATTTTCCCCCAGAGTGCGCGCCAGCCGGCTAACAAAGACCACATTGTGCCTTCGGAGGGGTTTTGGTGGCTTTTCTCCTTTCCTGAAGAAGGCGTGCTCAAGATGCTTTTCCAAAAGTAATTTTCCGTTCTTTCAACGCCTGATCCTTGAAATGTAAATGTACAAGATAAATATTGAATGTGTTCGGCTCATCAAAATAATATACATGCTTTGACACAGATAATTACGAAAATTTTGTTATCGGATATAAAACTATGGATGCTTACAAAACTAGGCACCGAGTAATGTCATAAATATGTCTAATTGCAAGCAAGGCCAGAAGAGGCCCTGTCTTTTTTCTAACATCATTGGTTAATTGTGCTTTTTAAAATGGTTCAATTTTTATAAATGACAAAACTCAAATGGTCTTAGGATTTTGATTCAGTCCTGAGATGTCTGAGTTAAGTATTTCCAGCTGATGCTCACCCCATACAGGTCCCACTGGAGCTTCCCAGACCCTTTTGGTTTCTTTCCTCGTGTCCCTCCTCCCTCTCCAGCTAATCATTGTTTCCTTTGTGGGTCCTCTCTGCTGTCCTTTAAATGTTGGTGCCCCTGGCTCCTTGGTTGTCTCTGCTCCCCTGGGCAGTGCCCTCCACTGCATGGCTTCAGTGGTAAGTTCGTTGGGAAGGCTGGGCGTGCGGGGAATGCTGCCTGAGGAAGAGACCTTTGAACTGGGCCTGCAGAAGAGAGGCTATACCGGGCAGTGAGGAGCAGGTGGGATTAGCCTGGAGTGGAGAACTAAAAGGGGCAGGTGGGGCTCAAATCCATAGGGCTCTGTGTGCCTCTGGGAGGACTGACTGAGCTTTATCCTGAAGACAGAGCTAAGCTTGGAAGGATTCCGAGTGGGCAGTGACATGATCATACTTGCCTTGTAGAGTGATCACTGTGACCACTGGATGGCGAGCCAGGTATTGGGGGCAGGGCCCCAGGCAGGTGTGAGTGCAGCAGATTGAGAATGGGATGATGGAGGCCTCCCTGCCCCTTCTGTTACACAGCAATGCACTGACCCTCAGGCAGCCGAATCTCTGCCTCTAGCCCTTGGTTTGGCCTGTTCTCCCAAGACTTCCCTCACCAACCCAAAGGCCCCTTAAATGGGTGGTCTGTTTTCTACAAGGAAGGTATGCTTTTAGAGAAATAAAGAAGTTACTTTTAAAATAGCCAATTCATGACGAAACCGGTTTGGCTCAGTGGATAGAGCGTCAGCCTGTGGACTGAAAGGTCCCAGGTTCAATTCCAGTCAAGGGCATGTACCTTGGTTGCGGGCACATCCCCAGTGGGAGGGGTTGGGGTGCAGGAGACAGCTGGTAGATGTTTCTCTCTCATCGATGTTTCTAGCTCTCTGGCTCTCTCCCTTCCTCTCTGTAAAAAATCAATAAAATATATTTAAAAATAAGAATAAATAAAATATTCAATTCATGAAGGATATTATGACCACCCAGTGCTTTCTAAATACTGCTTATGTGATGTTCACTCTCACCCACTCACTTGAACACATATTGAGCCTGGCCTATGTAGCAGGTATGGTTCCAGGAGGGCAGATGAGATCTCCTTGATGGAGTTTATAGTCAAGGAGTGGGGGAGAGAGATGTGGATACAAATAAGCACATTGCACATATTCCTTACTCAGCGTGAATGCTATATAGTTTCTAAGAACCATGTGTGTTTCCCCTCCAGTGCGGCCTATCCATTCTTGTACATCCAGCCCTGCCATCTCCATCCATGAGGTGGGACATACAGGAGTCACCAAAACTGAGAGGAGTGGCATCAGCAGGCTAAGAAGTGAGATGAAACAGGTAAGAAGAGCTTGCGACAGTGCCAGGAGAGAAGTGGTTTTCCTACGTGGGCTCATCTCGGAAAATAATAGAAACCCAGGGCAAGTAGGGTGCAGCCTGCTCTTTGAGAGGATGAGATTCCTTCTCTCCTGGAATCTGAACATACCCCATACCCAGATATCCCAGAGCTCCTCACACATGCTCACCCTTAACTTTCATATGTTACGTGAACATTCCAGAAAACACCCTTCTCCATGTTTGCCTCGGTTGCTGAGACTCGCTCTTTTGAGTGGGCCAAAGCCACTTAAAAAATAGAGATGTGCAAAAAGTAACTGCATCATCTCTCCATCAAACGCGCCCTTCAAATGAAATACCCAGAGGGATCTAGAAATAGAATGGAATGCTGGTGACACCTGTATTTTCCACCAGTCACAAGCGTCTGTTTTCTTTGCTCACCTTTATTTAATCCACAATAAATTCCTTCTGGACTGACCTCGCAGAATGACAAGTCAACAGCTTTTCAGTCTTAATGTGCTGGTGCTGTGCTAGGACTTGACCATGATCTACAGTATAAAATAGTGTCCTTCTGACCATGAAATGCCCTGGGGTTTTCTTCTCCACTTTAAATCATGACCCACTAGGTAGAGTCCAGGTGACAATAACGGGTCACTTACCCCGCATTTGGGACAGAACTTCCCTGAGTTGTCTAGAGGGTGATAGAAGTAGCAGGGCACCCTTGATTCCAAATATTTAATTCCTGATGTATTTTTACTTTCAGATGACTAGGCGATTTAGTACCGATGGACAGGTGAAACATCTTTGTTTTGTTTCGCCCTTTGCTGTGCGTGCTTCGTGTTCTTTCTGGCTCGAATGTGGAAAGCAAGGCTATGAATACAGAGAGTCTGAACGTTTGGAGAAGGGTCAGGAGTGGGTGGAGGCAGCCCTGGGGGCAGGCAGAGTGCTGGACTTGAAAGCAGGAGACATGGCCTTGCTCCGGCCTTTAAGCAAAGTCCATTCATTCAGCTCTTGGGTTTTGTAGGATACTCTGTGAAAGAGATAGTTCTGGGCTTTGCTCCATCAGAGGTGTCTGTTAAATAAAAGAGAAATAAATAGGAAAAAGTAAAATGTGGCCATTGAGTATATCAGTAGAAAGTATACCATATTCCTATCCCCAAATTGCCTGGGGGGGGGATAGGGTTTAACCCTGAAAGGGAAAAAAAATGTAAGGAAACCATTCTTTTATATCACCATGCTTCCTCCTCCTTCCTCCAGAAAATTGGAGTCACCTTTCTAATGATTTAATGTCTCCATGACAGAGAATATACAGGAATCATATAATGACAAACACTGTGCTGTCTCATTGACATGTATGCTCTTTTTAAGACTTTCCAAAACGTATTCCTTTTGCCAGCCACTCGGTGGCACCATCCCTCTAGTTACTCACATCCCCATGGCAGCTTCCTGGGGAATATGTGTGGTTTCTTCTGTCTCCATTTAATGTCCTCGCATATTATGGGGACACAATGATCACCTTTGTGTGTGTGGGGTGTTTTTTTTTTTTTTTTATGGCTTTAGAGTCAGTCAGCCAAGTACAAGTTTTGTATTTGGCCACTTCCATCAAGGAAACATTTTCTCTATTCAAAATTTAATAGCTGCCATGGCATTTGAAATATCTGTTCATTTTTGCAAGAACACCACGCGTGGGTGCACATGTGTATGACAGGAAATATGAAGGGTGCATTCTAGATGTTTAGGTGACGAAATACTTATTTGGCCAAAGGTCATCAGCCTGGTTTTATCTGTTCATTTAACAAATATCTATTGAATGCCAGTAGGTGACAGATGCTAAATGCTCTCTCTGGGTATTTTGTTGCTCTCTGTAGATTTTCACAACTCTTAACGTAAAAGATAAGCTTTTCATGGCTGTGACTTTGGGAATAAATTGGGTCCTAACTTGATGAGGGACCTTCTCCATCTGAGTGGTACCATTTCATACTGAGAGAAAGAGCATTCGCCAAGTTCACCGCGCAGAGCCCAGATCTGCCTGCCTGACCAAGGCTGTTTGCCTGGTGCTGAATGAGATCGTCTGTCCACCTGCATCCTCTGCACCTTCTTTCTGGGGGTATTTCCCACACTGTTCTATGTCCCTCCTTTCTGCTTGCATCCTTTGGTATCACGTCACGTGACTGAATGGACTCTCTTTGTCTTGTAGCTCTTTTCTGTGAGCCAGGCCTCATCCAGCACCTCGCATTGCTTCAAGTCTATGGTAAACCATGCGTCCTGACCCTTGTCCCCTTGTTTGTAATGTGTTAATCCTCCTGTTGCCCTTCTCATGCCCCCCCCCATCCCTCATTCCTGAAGATTTAAATAGCGTTCAATGTTTTCATTTGACCGTCATTAGGAATAGAGTCTAGAAAGCTGAGCAGTTCTTTTTTTTTCTTTTTTTTTTTTTTTTTTTTTTGAGAAGTTCTTGAAGTGAGCTTTGTTTGTCCAGGAGCTTCTGGAACCTTGGAGGCACTGGTTTTGTACCTCTCCCCGGTGCCATGGTGGGGAACCATTGTCCGCATGTGCTCATTAGCACTGTGTGCTCAGAATGCTCTGCTTGGCATGAGGCCTCACATAAAGTGGAGGACTAGGAAGTGTGGGAATCGCTGAGGCGAGGCTGAAGCTTCGTCCTGAAATGAAAAGGAGGAAACCAGCTGAGTCATTGATGAGTGCGGCTGTAATTACTTTTATTTGTATCTAATTGTTGCCGTATTTAAATTGCAGTAATGAGCCCAATGGAAGAGCCCAGCCTAACAGCCTTTTCAAAATAAGATCCCATGAAGTCAGAATGAGTCCACAGAGAACACTCCTGCCTCCTGCCCTAGTAGCATGCTTAACATTTGGATTTCATTTTTAAACCTTTCAATTTAATGTTGTGCCCTGAGAAGTGAAAATGCCAGGTAGTCCAGAGCAAAGATAATGGCAAGGATGTAGGTTAACCCTTTCCAACCTGGAGACCATGTGCTTAGAATCCATCCATGGGAAGAAGGCAGGCCCAGAGCCTTGCTTGCGGAAAGGGAGCACAGTGTGGCTTCACCCCATCTGCTGCTGGGGGTCCCCCCATTCCAGCCTGGTTTCCAGGTCCCTGATGGGAGCTTCTCAGAGCCACCTCTGAGGTCATGGGTAGGCCCTGGCCCAGCACATCCCTTGAAGAGGCCAGAATAAGTCTTGCCTCAGGCAGGGAGGTGGGCATGATATGACACCTTTCCCTCTGCTTCAGCAAAGCATATCTTCCTGGCGCAGAGGCAGCCATTGCCCCAAATTAGGATAAAGCGCTATTCTGAGAGCAGGCTGAGAGCAGATTGAAAAGGACAGATGCACATACAATACTCCCTGGGGTCCTCGCTACTAAATGGGGATCCCTAGCCTTTTCTTTTGGGTTTTGGCTCCAAAGCCTCCCCCACACACCCTGGTGTGTTACAGGGAGAGGATCAGTTCTCTGTGGCAGTGCAGAAGTGGGCACTTTGGCATTTGTCTCCCTGGGCTGCATTACCTCTGGGTGGGTGGTCTCACCTACTCCAAGGGCCCCTGTGGGCACTTAGCCATGCGTATTCATGGGGTTTTGTGTATTTTCATTCAGTGAGTGTTGCAGGACAGTCCAACTGTGTCCCAAGGTGTAGAGGAGGTCAAGACCTGGAGCCAGTGTCTGGGTCAGGAGTTGCCACAGCTAGTGCTGAGCTGGGATTCGCAGCTGATCCCAGAGCCCACACTGTCAGCTGTTTGGCCTCCCCGTCAGGTTGGGGTCCTTGTGCACCAAACAGGTTCACTAACCAAACCGGTGTGGGAAAGAGTCTATCCAGCTTTAAGAAATGGTTAGGCTCGAATCAAGGCAACACAGTCCTCTATGGGCAAGTGGTGAGCTGGTGTTTTGATTCACCGAGTTGTCTTGCAGCGCCAGCTATGAGGCTTCTGAAGGCCACGCACTGTCTTGCAGAGGTCCAGCACCCCACCTTCGCCCACTGGCACATCATCGTCAGACTCAGGAGGGCATCACATTGGCTGGGGGGAGCGACAGGGCCAGTGGCTGCGCAGGAGAAGGCTGGACGGGGCCATCAACAGGGTGCCTGTGGGATTCTACCAGAAGGTGTGGAAGATCCTTCAGAAGGTGAGCTTGGCCACTATAATGAATTCCGCAGGCCTTGGGGCTGGGAGACACACGCTCCCTGGTAAATGAACCAATCCGCCCTTATTCCCTTTGTGAGGCATGGTGGCACCTACTGGAATCATCAAGTAGCACGTGGTTGCAGAACAAGCGAACACATAGCCCTTGACCTTGGATACTCGCAGCCTAGAACAGGCTTTCTCCATCTTGGCACCACTGACACTTGGGCCTGGGGAATTCTTTATTTGTGCGGGGGCTATTCTGTCCATTGTGGAATATTAACCAGCATCCCAGGTCAATAGCACCCCCTTCCCCAGTTGTGACAACCAAAAATGTCTCCATTTGTCCTCTGTATTAGCAAACCACCCATGGTTGAGAACTGCTGATTAGAACCACAGCAAGTCAGATGAGGAGACAGCCCAGGTTGCGTGGGACCGTCCCCTTTGACATATTGGGAATGTAGAAAAGTCAGAAGATACATAAGAACCGGAGAAGGCAGGGAAGGCTTTGGATGAAAACACCATGACAGATAACCTAGAACAGCCCATCCCAATCCCTTAGTTTCCTACATGATCAGACAGGCATAGTATCCACATCTGTCAGTGACATGATTGAGCAGTTCCCATCTGTTGGGTCCTGAGTTCTTCCAGTCTGACTCCAGGGCCCAGGTGCCCTAAAGCACAAGCTGTACACACCCTAGGCTTCCACATGGAGGACAGGGACCTCACACCCCTCCCTTTAGTGCTCTCTATTCCTGTGGCCTGCAAAAATCTTAGCAGAGCTAAGTCATCGGAAACAGAGGTCAGGGGACAGCCACAGACAGCATGCACTGCATGCACCTGAGTGCGGGAGAGCCCAGCCCAAATGCCTATGGCCAAGGAGGGGTCCGTGGGGGAAACCTTGGCCATTGCTCTCTGTACCCACATTCTGTCCCCCTTCTACATATACCCCAGGGCATTTGTATCTCCCTGGGTCCAGTAGATCTTGTCTTTCCTCCTGCCCAGAGGGGCAGTAAGCCTCAGTTAAAGCTTCTATGCATCACCATTTACCCCACTTTACCTTTTCAACCTCCCCCTCCCTTCCCTCTGGCAATCACCATATTGTCCTCTGTGTCTATGAATCTTTCTGGGTTTTTTTTTTTCTTTGTTTAATCCCTTCACCCTTCTCACCCAGCCCCTCTCTCCAACCCCATGAGGGCTGCAGTCTGCTCTCTATATCCATGACTCTGTCTCTACTTTGTTAGTTTATTTTGTTAATTAGATCCCACAGATCAGTGAAATCTTTTATTAACCAATGTCACCTCAATAAACTCAATAAAAAAAAAGAAATTTAATAAAAAGCTTCTATGCAAACCAGGAACAATGGGCAGGATGGATTTTTTTCAGAAGCTATTTTTGATAGCTCATTTCACAGTAGGAGAGGAGAGAAAAGCCATCCCAAATGAGTGCCCACGAGTTCCTTCCTAAAACCACAGCATCACTCAACTGTGATATTTCTGTGGACATACCTTTGGCCTCTCTGTCTGTCTTACTGAGCCGGGCATGGGGCGGTCAGAGTGGTTCCTGTCCTTATGCAGCTGGGCTCCTGGTCCCCACGTGGTATGAGAGCCCTCAGAGCCCACACAGGCCTCTAGTTCTCCATTCTCTGCCTCTCATCGGGAGGCACTAGTGTTTGCAGCCACTCTGTCCTCAGCCCCCCAGGGACAGGGGTGGGCATTTGCTGCCGGCCAAGACACTGGGATTTGGAAGGCAGCCAATTAGACTAGTACGAACTGTTCCTAGAAAAATCTCCTCACTCTTCCTGGGGCATCACACGCTTCCATCTAGACTTCCACTGACTCAATACCAAGACACTCTTATTATGAAAAAACAGCATTTTGTATCGAGTTGGCGCTTGATATTTATATACATGGGTATGCGTGTGAGTGTCTGTGCATGTGCTCGAGTTTTTTTGTGGTTTTTTTTTTTTTTTATGTGATTGCTGCTTATTTTAGAAATCTCAAAAATAGATGCCTTGCAAAGGCACAGAAGTATCACTTCCCCAGCAGGAGTAATGAAAGTCTCCTTTTATATGGCACCAACGGGGGCCTCTCAGCCGAGTGTATGAAGACCTGGCAGTTCCTGGGGCATTGTTCGTGAGAGATCTGAAACATGCCTGTTGGTGCCCTAGGATTGTTCCATTCGAAAACACAGCCTGTGGGCAGTGAGAACAGCTCTCTAAAAATAAATGACAGTCTGGCGTGTTCCAGCCCTCATGCAGGTTTTCAGGGCAGAGCAACTTGCGTGTGTGCGCATGTGTGTGCACACTTATCAATTGCCTGCTGGAATTGGACTGAAATGTGTTGTGTGTGTTCTGCCTGCAGTGCCATGGCCTGTCCATCGATGGTTACGTGCTCCCGTCCTCAACGACACGAGAGGTATGATGGGAAAAACCCAAACATGGACCTACCACCATTTCTACCCAGTGCTCTGACCACTGATACTTCTTTCAAGCTTCTTACATTTATAGACAGGCTTACTTACCCTCAATTTTTGCAAAGTTTCTTTCCCACACTTATTAGCATCACCTTTTATCCTTCCTCTCAGAAATAGCGTTTCTGGCTGTGAAGGTCTTTAGATTTGCCCCATAAAAGCCTATTAAGAGAAAAGAGCAAAGCCTCATGCCACACTCATCAAACCCACGTGCAGCCTCCTCTGACCCCTCTCTGCTGAGAGCAGTCATCTTCCCTGGTTTCTTTCCTCTTATTCATTCTTTTAAAAACTTTTTTTATTTTTTTAGTTTTTACCCTACCCAAGGCACCATGCCATATGCTACACGAATGATGAAGAAGAATGAGAAATATGAAATGGTCCCTGACCCCAAGAAGTCCAAGGCCAGTGGTTTATAGGCAAATAAAGCTAGGATAAGGCCAACTGCCTCCCCGAGCAAAGCCTCGGCCTCTTGTTTCAGAGGGGTCCTGCTGGCAGAATCAGGACAATGACCAAAAAGGAGGCAACATTTGAGCTGAGACCTCAACCCAGTGGGTGTTGAGGTTAGTGTTGGTGACAGGCTATGTCTGTCCTGTCTCACTCCTGACCCCCTGACTGGACCCTTTGGCAGATGACTCCGCAGGAGATCAAGTTCGCTGTCCATGTTGAGTCAGTGCTGAACCGTGTGCCTCAACCCGAGTACCGGCAGCTGCTGGTAGAAGCCATCATGGTGCTAACGCTGCTCTCAGACACCGAGATGAATAGCATCGGGGGCATCATCCACGTGGACCAGATCGTGCAGATGGCCAACCAGCTGTTCCTGCAGGACCAGGTGGGTGTGTCCGGGCCTGTTCATTCATCCACAGCCAAGGTGGGGACAGAGGCAGGGTAGCCAATTAGGCTGTCATTTATCAAGATTGGAAATTCTGAGTCCAATAGGAAAGAATGTTCTTGACCAAAGAAAATGTCATCACAGTTGGTGGAAAATGTCAACTCTTTGGTTAAAAAGTGGCAAAGTGGCCACTTGGGAAATTTAAAGATCTTTGAAGTGGACTGGACCATTTCAGCATAGGTTTTAGTGCAAATACTGCCCCTGCACATATATAGCCCTGGGTAGATAAAACCACTTCCTCTGTATTAGGAGAAGCCATCCACTTATTAGAGTGAACTGGGGCATGTGGGAATCCAGTGCAGTGCCCGGAGCAGAGGTCAATGTCCCCCCGGGCACTGTAGTCTCTCCTTCCCCAGGCCTGGAACTCCACGGGCCGTGGGCCCGCAGCACACAGAGTCATCACAGGGCTGGAAAATCAAAGTCTGCTCATTCTTTACTCTGCCTTTTCCTGCTACAGATGTCGATTGGCGCCATGGACACCCTGGAGAAAGACCAAGCCACAGGCATTTGCCACTTCTTTTATGACAGTGCTCCAAGCGGGGCTTATGGGACAATGACCTATCTAACAAAGGCAGTGGCTTCTCATTTGCAAGAATTGCTGCCCAATTCAGGCTGCCAGATGCAATAGTGCCTTGGTGCTGTGAGTCTGTCACTTGCCCCCTAGCCTCATTGGGAACTCTCTTCTGTGCCCAAGATCCCCTGTGCTGTCACAAAAGCATGTCCCATTAGAAACACTGGAAGGGCCCGGCCAGCGTGGCTCAGTGGTTAAGTGTCAACCTATGAACCAGGAGATCACAGTTCGGTTCCCAGTCAGAGCATATGCCAGGGTTATGGGCTCGATCCCCAATGTGGGGTGTGCAGGAGGCAGCCGATTAATGATTCTCTCTCATCATTGATGTTTCTCCCTCTCTCTCTCCTTCTCCCTTCCTCTCTCTGAAATCAATAAAAACATATTTTTCAAAAAACACTGGCAAGGCAGAGATGGCAGTGACCTGAAAACAGTATATGTCCAAGCCAAAGAAAGAACAGGAATCCTGTTGCTTCCCCAAGGAGTGGCATAGGATTATTGTCCAGGTCTATTTTGCTGGAACATTTTGTCATAGCATCTGTTCTCCTGGAGTCTAAGGAGAAATTGGAAACTGGTATCTTTTGAGTGCAATATGAACTAAAAATCCATCTTAAATTGGCTCTCATAGAGAGTTACCAAAATAGGTTTGGTGAGCTACCGCACATGTTGAAGATCCTTCTAGTCCAGTGGTCGGCAAACTGTGGCTCCCGAGCCACATGCAGCTCTTTGGCCCCTTGAGTGTGGCTCTTCCACAAAGTACCATGGCCTGGGGGAGTCTATTTTGAAGAAGTGGCATTAGAAGAAGACCTTGACAAGGGATAGTCTGCCTGTGGATCAAACTGTTTTCTAAATAGAGCAACTCTTTCTGGGGAAGTTTGCTTTTTCTCATGGCTTTCTTTCTTTCTTGACCTCTTGTTTCATTGGCATGGCTGCCTTCATTAATTTTAGCTCATGGTCTTCAAGGAGTTTATCCTGACTGGCCATGAATTAGGGGTTTCTCCTGCTTTCTGAAAAAATCCCACATTTTCCAGAATCTAGCAAAACAAACAGAATGGTGGCAGCGGAGTGAACTGTTCTTATTAGGTAAGCCAGCTGTTGTTTGGGGGCTCAAGCAGGCAGAGAGTCCCTCTGGAAGGCCTGTGCCCCATCTCATCACTCTCCCACCCCGGCTGTACCTACCCCTGTTCTCTGTGGGGAGCCAGGTGATGAGTATGCAACACCAGAGGTCATGGAAATTGATGGTGGTGTGCTCCCACAAAAGCAATACCTCTCTATTATGATAAAGCCAGGCTGGGGGCTGGGGACTCAAGCCCTTCTCCTGTAAGCACTACCATCTTAATACTCTCAGGGAGGTTTGGCTAGTGGCCTTGATTTTAGAGGAGCCAGGATAAGACCTGACCCAACAGGGTCTTGTCAATCTTTTGCTAATAACCTGGGGGTTGGGATGGGAGGGACAATAGGCAAACAGTTTCTGTGAATAAAGGACTTGAAAGGGCAGTCAACTGCTGTTCATATGGTGAACTCTGGCTGGGTGAGAGTGATAGGTTGGTTTTGTGGTAACTCTGCCTCTGAAATGGGAATGTGGTCATTGGATCTTTGCTTGGAAGTTTGATGGTGGAGAAAGCCAATGCTCTAGCTGCTTTGAGGGGACATTGCTGTGTGTGACACCCCTCAGAGTCAAAGTGTAGTACTAATGGCTGTTCTGGAAGCAGAGGGAAGTTCTTGATGCTTCCAAGTGAAGAGCCTCTTGTCAGTCCCAGCCGGATATTTCACAGTTGTCTCTGGGAGAGACCGTCTAGAATACAAGCCCTGGTGTGCCTACCTGGACGCGGTGGTGTACTGGCACCATACACAGGGAACCTCAATGCCTCTGTTTTAATTTCTTCAAATGCACAGTACTTTCCTTTATGAGGTAGAGAGTAATTACTGAGGGAAAAGGTCCCCAGGCTCTCAGCTTCTACTCCCATGAACATCCACATTCCTCCTCTCCTCCTCCTCTCTCCTTCACACCCCCACCCCCTCTTTTCATGTTAGTATGTAAAACCGTTCCCCTCAGATTACTGGATCCTTCTTTTATTCATCAGCATGTGTTGAGAATGCTTCTCTGTGCCAGTGTGGGCATATAAATATAAATGAGACATGGCTCAAGGAAGGCCTGTGTGAAAAGATGACCAATGCGTTAGTGTGGTGGGGGCAGTATTAGAGAGGCAGACAAGGTGGAGTATGCCCCAAACACTGGCACTGGTGGTGCAGACCACAGCAACAGTGTGGGCATCATGCTCCCCTTCCCCCAAGCTCCTGCAGTGCCCCAGAGCCTTCCATTTCATACTCCATCTTCCCTGGAAAACCTGTTTTATCCTGTTTGCCTCTGAGGGTCCGGGGATGGGGGGGTGGGGGGCAGTCACAGCCACCCAGGTTTCCTAGTAGCATTTTCATACCCTTTATTTTTGGTGTCCTTAAGACATGCTTTTCATAAACGGGTCTCATATCATCTATCTGGTAGACTTCCTGGAGGATCATTTCAGACATAGATAATATAGGAGAGGCACAAGCTGTGAGAGTTCCGCTTGCGTCTTGGGCGAAGGCTCAGGAAGAGTTACAGCTCTCCAAAACGAGCCAGGTGCTAATTTAGAACAATCACCTGCCTGTGGATGACGTGCAAAAGCCACAGATGCTGTGTTTGGGCTCACCAACTGAGACGCGGGCCGGGAGAAGAGCCATAATAAGCAATTCAACCGAGCCCTCAATTCACTCTTTTGAAACCTCTTTCAAATGAAATCCTGAAATAGTACTGCATTTCCACAGGCATCAAGCTGTCAGCTTCAAAGAAGGAGAACAGGCTTCTGAGGTTTGATCCCTTTCACGAGCAGTTGAGGCCCACGCAGCAAAGAGGAACAGATGGTGGAAGGGGATGGTGGTGGCCTTGTCCCGACCATCTTGGCCTCGTGGTGTTGGGGGGATGGGCACTTTCCCATCTCCCTCCTCATAGAAGAAAGGCCAGTTTTTTGTTTTTGTTTTTTATTTCTTATCCCCCTATTGACACCCCACCCCCCACTCATGCCCTCATCCCCCTGGTGTCTGGGTCCATTGGTTAGTCCTATATGCATGCACACAAAGTTCTTTGGTTGATTTTTCCCCCTTACCCCCGCCCTCCCCTACCTTCCCTCTGAGGTTTGATGGTCTGATCGCTGCTTCTCTGTCTCTGGATCTGTTTATGTTCATCAATTGATGTTGTTCATCATAACCCCCAAATGAGTGAGATCATGTGATATTGATCTTTCTCTGACTGGCTTATTTCGCTTAGCATAATGCTCTCCAGTTCCATCCGTTCTGTTGCAAATGGTAAGAATTCCTTTCTTTTTACCGCAGCGTAGTATTTCATGGTGTAGTTTTTTAATCCATTCACCCGCTGGTGGGCACTTCCTAGCGGCACAATTCACCATAGCTAAGATTTGGAGGGGCCAGTTTTTACCTTTGCTGGGACTCAGGGCAGAATGTTTTGTCTCAGAACCAGAAACAAACATTTAACATCCTCAGGTGAGAAGCTGTCCCACCTGCTTCTCACCCTGCCTTTGGCCCAGGTGAATCTAGCAGCAAGGAGGAAGGTTCTGTCTCTGACTCCAACCAGCCTTCCCTCCCAACTCTGACCTAGGTGAGTTATTTAGCCTTGTGTCTCAATTTAGCCATCTGGAAAATGTGCAAGAAGCCTATGAACTGGCACTAGAGAAAGCACAGAGAAATCACAGATACCCTCACCTCCCTCACCCTGGCCAGCTATGCCTTTCGGTGACCAGGGCTGGGCTCTACTGGTCATGGTGTGTCTCCCACAGTGGCCGTCCGACAGGAGGTCAGAGCAATAGTCGCCAACCGGTGGACCGGTGATCCGTGAGGTCTGAAAGGTTGGCAACCACTGAGTTAGAGCTTCTGCAATACTTGAGGCGTGATGAATGGAAGAAGAGACTTACAGATTAGCTACCTGCAAAGAGAGCATGTACATGCTCCCTGTGTAAAGAAAGAAAAAGGAAAAAAAAAAGATCAGGAGGCAAGAGAACAGTTTGTCAGCTGATTGAAGCCATTTATTTCTAGACAAGAAGACAGGAGGCTTGGCCTCCCTTGATGTAAATTACAGCAGAACCACGTCTCAGTTCTATTGATTTGTGCACAAGTCTGGCAAATAGCTTTTGTCTTCTCTGCTTCCTTGTTGTCAGAGGGTACAAAAGCTTCCTTCTCCCTCCCTTAGCACCATTATTCTTCAAGGTGACTTATGCTTTTGAAGTCCCTGCCGTCTGTTGTGTGCATCTCTGCACTTTGTGTGCTCCCAGAATTCCTTCTGTTCTCCCAGACTTGGCCACCAATAGCTCTTCGTGTGAGAGGAAAGTAAAGCTGCTGTCACCTTCTTGGAGCCTCCTTGTTCCCCTCAGAAAGCCATTTAGGAAAATCCATGTCTTTGAGTTACCAGAACAGTTCTCTGAGGAATGAGAAGACCTGAGAGACTGTACTCAAGTCTAATGCATGAAGTGGACTGATGGTTTGAGAAAAGGAAAAATTCCATCAAAAAATAATTGTGTGTGTGTGTGTATGTGTGTGTCTGTGTGTTTTAAGGAACATATGTGCAATTTTGGCAAAAATGCCTTCTTAGAAAGACTGGAATCATTGGAACCAATGAACTCTGATGTCATGTGACTCATCCCTCTGCCTTATTGCAATATGTCAACTATTCTGCAAAAGGAATTGCTCAGAAAGCATTTACAGTGCATCGCCCGGCATGCAGAAACATGGAGTGAGGTGGTGGGAGATGAAAAAAAATGGCTCTGTTGTTTGGGAAGACATGTAAGGAAGGACACTGCCAAGCCTCCGGTGGAAGCATTCTTAGCATTTGGTCTACCAGGGCTTCCACACCCCGAAACTAAATCCTGAGTAGCTTTGGCCTCTTTCTCAGCAGGATGACTGCAGGCACTTCCGCCTCCAGCTGGTGTAACTGAGGCGCCAGGCTTTGCAAAGGGCACAACTTTGGGTTGTCCACATGGGACCAAGCTGCATCTGAATTGGGCATGAGATAGTGGATGTACCTTCCGTGTCTCCTTTTTAAGAGTTTTAGAGATACAAACCCAGGATAGATACACCAAGGAGAAGTCTGTCCTTAGCTCTAATCTTTCATGTCCTCGGTGTCACCTTTTGGCACCGTGTCAGAGTTCTTATTTGCAGGTTACAGCAAATCTGGCTGGGGAGGAAGTATGTTTCTTAAAGGGTATTGGCTAAGTCACATGGTCACCAGGTGTGGCACTTCCCCATGTCACTCCTGGGTGCTCCCGGGCTTACACCCTGGGGCTGACACCACAGATGCCCCCACAGCAGCCACCTTCTCTAGGATCATTGCCTCTGCTCTTTTGGAAACTAATTACAGAGGCTGCAACTTGTCACCAGAGTGGATTTCAACCGCCACTAGCTGTCAATTCAGTCTCAGGCAGGTGTCTTGCCTCAGCTCGGGTGGAAGAGGACAGGTTGTTAGCTGAGGGGGAGGTTGGAAAAACCAGTATCTTCTAGTGCCTTCTTCTACAGTGGAGGCGGTGTTGGCTTCCTAACAGGGGGATTCCCCAGACCCAGAAAGAGGTTTGATGCCAAGCATCCAAAACTAAGTGCCCACTACAGCCAGGACTCTTGGCTTTTATTCCTTTGTCCAGGAAGAAGAACCTGTGTCTCCCCCACTCAGTCTGCTCTGAGGAGTGACTAAGAGGTACATGTGCCCTCTGAGGAAGGCTGTGCAGGAGTGTGCTAAGGGTGTGCAGGTCATCGCAGTGCCCACTCTGGGCTCCACTAGGACAATTGAAAGTGCTCTTTTGGGTAGAGATGTTACTAAGTCATCGTGGCTGAGTCGCTGCTACTGCTGCCCAGACCACCAAGCAGTGTCACCTTTTGGCACCAGTGCTCAGCTTCTAAGGAGGAATGACCTGGCCTCACAGTGTTTCGTGACCACCAGGCCAGCCCCATCAGCTTTTTTCTGGACCCTGAGTGACAGCTCGTCTGGGACAAGACACAAATGATCATTGCCTCCTTCCTTCTAAGTCTATCCAGCTGGGGGGGGGGGGTTAAAAATAACGAATTGGAATTGCTTCCAGATGTAAGCCTCTCTCCTGACACCTGGGATGTATCCCTGAGTTCTCTCATGGGCTTTAGGGGTACAGCCATCAAGGCAAGCTGGCCTTTCTCTGCTGATCCCCTCCCTCTTCCACTCATAAGCTCCCATGGCTGCTCCCTCTCCCTCCTTTAACCACAACTAATCCAGTGTCATCCCTTACAACAAAGGTTTCAGGTTCAATTCCCAGTCAGTGCACATTCCTAGGTTTTGGGTTTGATCTCTGGTCAGGGCTTGTATGGGTAGGGGGTGAGTAGCAACTGATCAATTTCTCTCTTTCCCTCCCTCCCCCTCTTTCTAAAATCAATAAATCCTCTGGTGAGGATTTTAAAAAGAGAGAGCTTGGCTGGCGTGGCTCAGGTGGTTGAGTGTCGACCTATGAACCAGGAGGTCACGGTTTGATTCCCAGTCAGGGCACCTACCCTGGTTGTGGGCTCGATCTCAAATGTGGGGCGGGCAGGAGGCAGCTGATCAATGATTCTCTCTCATCACTGATGTTTCTATCTCTCTCTCTTCATTTCTGAAATCAGTAAAATTTTTATATATATTTTACTATATATATATATATATATATATATATATAGAGAGAGAGAGAGAGAGAGAGAGAGAGAGAGAGAGAGAGAGCGCCAAAGGGGGCCAGGAGGCTCCAGTGTGGCTTCTGAGAGGGCCCCCACCTCCAACTCACAGCCGGGAGAGGCAGCTGTTTGAGCCAGGAGATGAAGAAATGGCTAAGTGGGCCCTTGACATGAAGCATGGGAGGCAGAGCTGACCCCGAAGGCTGAATCTCCGGCTGTGTCTGGGCTTCTAATCCCCAAAGCAGAGCTGACGCGCTGCAGTGATCACACACACACCTGCCATATGTGCTTCTTTCTCCGGTTCCCTGATTGAGACCCGAGATACCAGTAGCTTTTGCGCTGTCTGCACACATTTATGTGGTTGGTGCTATGCTTGGCCTAGTAAGGGAAGAGACTAAATAAGCAGGGGCCAAATTAGAGCCCAGAGCCAGAGAAGGGTTCACTCTGAGCACTGGGCCAGCAGAGGTTGGAACCGTGGGGCGGAGGGGGAGGGGCAGAGAGACCACAGCAGAGCCCTTTGTCACTGGAGGCCAGGCACTCCTCCATCATGACCGGCTGTCTGTTCTCAATGGTACAAGGGGGAAGGAGAGGGCCACACTGGCACTGCTCAGGAAGGATTTGCATGGGAGGGAACCTGTTGAGTCCTTGAACCCCTGGATGTGATGGATCTTCCCCACCCACAGCAGGTCAAGGATGACTAAAACACTCCCCTGAAAAATTGGGTCACAAGCAAGAGCTTCTTAAGAACTTTGTCTTACTGGTAGATATCAAAGCCTGGTACTGGGGGGCAGTGGGGTGGGTATAGCAACTGGGTGAGGCCGTCTGCAGGTTTCTCTGTAGCTCAGCCTGACTTCCCTCCCTCTCCCCACCCAGACAATAAGCAAAGGAACAATTAGATGCATAATGTGTCTGGGGATGACAAGAGCTGTGGACAGGATGAGAATAACGTAGAGAAAGGGCAAAGAGGCCTACAAGTTGTGGGGTCTGCCCTATGTATGACTAGAGAAAATCTCTGATAAAGCTGGATTTGGTCTGATACCTGGAGGAAGTGAGGTAGGGAGGCAGGCTACACCTAGGGGAAGAGCATGCCAGGCAGAGGGGACAGGGCAGAGGCCCCAGGCAGGAGTGCATCTGTTTGCAGAAGGGGAAGGAGGTCAGAGGGCAGAAGTGGAGCCATCAAAGGGAAGAGCTTAGTTTGGCTTTTGGCGGGGTGCGGTTGGGGAAGAGACAAAGACATGACACAATCATTGCCAACTGGTCCAGAGATATTTGCTTTACAGGAAGAGGCAGAGCAGAGGGGAGAGGGGTTTCATTGTTACTCAGGTTTGGAGGGACTATTGGTGGGGGGAGGGGGAAAGGGAGAAGGGAGCAAGTGCCAAAGATAATTTAACTTCCTTCCCCTAGCTCAGAAGCTCCTGCAGCAGCTTCTGCTTTGCAGCTCTTTAGGGGTAAGAATCTGGTAGCTGGGAAGTGGCTGCAATGGAATGGTTGAATGACAGGAAAATTATTCCTGTTCTCTTCCTCACCATCCTTCCCTATCTCAGGACTAACCTCATGCAGTCCTTCAACCACTTTCAAGCAAACATACACACTTGTGTACCCAGCCATTGCCTGCCTCTGCCCACCACACTTCCGGGAATGGGGCTTTGATGCCTGTGCCCCAGAGGCCTGGGCTGGGACTCAGGCCCCGTTTCTCACTCTCAGACTTCGCTTTGCCTGCTCTTACCTGCCCTTGGAGCCATGTCTCCTCATCCGCAACCCAAGGGACCTCAGATCTCTTCGCTGCCACCTGCAAGCAGCTGCCTGCCTTTCAAGTGGGGTGTCAGGAAGCACGAAAAAGACTGGGGCTCAGGCTTTCCAGGCCCCAAAGGCTTTCCATGCTGCAAGTCAAAGGCTGCTGCCTCTGAACTTTAAATAGATGTGCTGTGCCGAGTTTTAAATGTGACACCTTTCTTTTTTTGAACTTAAAAAATAAAGCACAATGGAAAGCAAGCAATCGATGTAGTGAGTCATCCTTGGGAGGAAGGTGGCAGCTCCCTGCCGGAGGTGGTGGTCAGGGGGACATTCCGGGGGACTGGCCAGGGTGTGCACCCTGTGGGGGAAGAGAGTGGGAGGGTGGATGGGAATAGTGAGGCCACTGTATTGGCTCTGAGGAGTCCCTGGAATTAGTGACTTTGTCTTTTGTGGGTCTCACTTCTCAGCAACCCTCAGGTGTGTTGGAAAGACAAAGGAAGGCAAAGATTTAAACCGGACATCCGGTCAGCTATAGGTAGAGAGCACACTGTTATCATTGTACATCGGCTTAGTTAGATGACTGTTATTAACACAGAATTTTACTGATGAGGAAATCAAAGCTCAAGAGGGCTTGTGAATGTCACAAATTCTCCCGAGTTCCCCCAGGACGAAAGGTCATGAACAAAGGCTGCATGTTTACCTAGATCTGGGTAAAAAGTATTGCATTTCCCTTACAAATTTATCTCAGAAGAGAGAGACTCATTTTCTTGGATTGCACAGGAATTGGGTGGTAGATATGTAGAGAAATGTTGCAGGGGGTGAACTCTCAATTTACTGTACAAGGACAGAAAATCCCAATGCAGCCCATGATGACCCAAGTCCTATGTGCAAATGGACAACCGGGTGCAGCAGGCTGCACCCCACCCCACTGAAGGCATTCCCAAGAGAGGCATCACAAGGCCTGTGGTGTGTCCAGAGCTCAAGTGTCCAGAGTTCAAGGCTACATCCATCAATAATACTCTGGGCTTGGGACTCAGGCCAAGTCTGGTCCCTAGGTAGCCCTTAAACTCTCAACTTAAGTGGGAAGGGAAGGTCCTCCTCTGCTCTCTCTAAAAGACTGCTTCAAATCTAAAGAAAAGTGGTTAGCCAAAACCGGTTCGGCTCAGTGGATAGAGTGTCGGCCTGTGGACTGAAAGGTCCCAGGTTCGATTCCGGTCAAGGACATGTACCTTGGTTGCGGGCACATCCCCAGTAGGGAGTGTGCAAGAAGCAGCTGATTGATGATTCTCTCATGGATGTTTCTAACTCTCTATCCCTCTCTCTTCCTCTCTGTAAAAAATTAACAAAATATTTTTAAAAACAAAAAACAAAACGTGGTTAGTGCTTCGGAAAGTCCACATCTCTGAACAATCAGTGTGTCTGTTGTCATGTGGATACTGCCACCTGAGAGGCCTTGGCCAGATGGTCAGCCTTCAGCAAAATTGGAATGGAGGCATTTGGCTTAAGGAGTGACACCTGCCTTTGAACTCTTCCTAGGCCCCTGGCCCTTTATCCGCCAGGTGCTCTGTGGTCAGCAGGCCTGAAGTCACATCTCCACACTGCTTAGAGCTGGACACACTTGGATTATGCATGGTCTCTTGGTGCCTCAGGTTTCTCCTCTGTGAAATGGGATGGTAAATGTATACACTATTCATTGGGTGGTTCCAGAGATTAACAGATAAGACAATAAACAACACCAATGACAGGGATATGTAATAATGTACTTAAGCTACTGTGCATGGCAGAAGCTCAAAAACAATGGCTGTGTCACCCCCTACTCTACCCCTTTTGGATCCCACCTATATCTGCAGACTCCTAACTCTTGGGAGGCACCTGAGCTGGTTATGAATGTGGATTCAGACAGGCTACTTTTTAGAAGCGTGGCCATGGATGGCAAGTCACACTCTGAGCTGCATTTCTCCATTTGTCAAATGCAATTAACAGTACTCATCATGTAAGGCTTTGAAGGACCAACAAAAATTAGATAACGGGCATTAAAAATGTTTAAGAGGTCTGTCCCAACTGCAGCTTGGCAGAGGATGGTTTGACCCAATTCAGGTGTGAAGAACTAGCACTCTCGAGAGGTCAAGGTTACTGCCCTCTGCTCTGCCCTGAGCAGGTCTCTCTGCCGTGGACCTGGGATGACGTAGGCTGGACAGACGCAGGGAATGCCACTTTGGGGAGGAGGAACAAAGAGTTTCAAAGCCCTGTCTTCATCTTTGATCTCTGAGTTCCTTCTTTATACTGGAACTTGCCACAAAGGGCCTGAGGGGAAGTATTGATTATCCCCATTTTGTAGGAAGGAAAGCTGAAGCCTGGGGAGGCTCAGAAACTGCTCCACATTCCAGAGCCTGTGTACAAACGGTGGAGCTGAGAGTGCTGGGCCTTGCCCTTTAACACTGTACTAGTGTACCTTCTCCTAAGGATTCATCCTTCCCACGGCTTTTTTTTTTTTTTTTACCCTCAAAGTAATATGGAATAGTGTGCAAAATAAGATGGGAGACAGGGAGAATTCAGGTAGCACCCAGTGGAGCCCCATACCCATGCCATTTTTCTGCATTTAATCGGGTCCTAACAGTTTTCCCAACCAGTGATCAGCTGAGACCAGGGGCCTCGAGCCTCCTGAGCCTGGCTCTGGGAGAGGAGGTAGCTAGGCAGCTTCCACTCCACCTCCACCCTCACCCCCACCCCACATATTTGGCTCCAATCTGCAGCGAGGACTACAGGCCTGAGGAAACAAGTCCCTTCCTGAGAGGAAACAAGTCCCTGCTCTGCTGCATAGCACAGTACCTCAGCCCCAAGGCCCACATGCCCCCATTCTCAAGGCACAAGCCACCCCTGGGCTCGGGGCAGGCTACTCAAACACTCGGTTCTCAGTGTGCTAACAGTAATTCCAGGGTCCTAGGCTGCAGGTTTTTGTGCCAGTGATATGGTGAGGCTTGCTCTTAGGAGAGACCTGTGGGAAGGGAGAGAAGTGGGACAGGGGAGGCGCTGAGGAAGTACTGTATGTACATCCAGATGGGGACCAGCTTTAGCCTGAGCCTTCTGAGAGCCCTGGAGTGTCAACTTCAAGACAGTCTCTTTCTTGCCTTGAGGAGAAGAGGCTGAGCTGTGTGCCCCTCCTCCGTCACTGGGCAATGGGGCATCATGGCCATCAGCCGCCCAATTTAGGATAAAAGCATTCAAATGTGAGTAGTTAGTCCTGGGGCTGGGGGCTGGGTGCACTGGTAAGAAGGGGATGTGGGGTCACCAACAGCTACTCTTGTTTTGCAGGACAAGAAATGGAAGCTCAAATTGCTCATCTGTTCAGTTTCACAGCTCATTTGGTGGCAGAGGGGCAGAAGTCATATGACTTTAAGGCCCATGTAGGGTTGCCTGAGTTAGTAAATAAGAACACAGGGTGCCCAGTTACATTGGAATTTCAGGTAAACAATGAATAATTTTTACTACAGGTATGTCCCAACAATATTTGGGACACACTTATACTAAAAATGTTACCTGGAAGTCAAATTGAACTAGATGCCTGTATTTTTTTTAACTTAATTCATATATATTTTAATATATTTTATTGATTTTTTACAGAGAGGAAGAGAGAGGGATAGAGAGTTAGAAACATCCATGAGAGAGAATCATTTATCAGCTGCCTCTTGCACACCCCCTACTGGGGATGTGTCCACAACCATGGTGCATGCCCTTGACCGGAATCCAACCTGGGACCTTTCAGTCCCATAGCCGACGCTCTATCCACTGAGCCAAACCAGTTTGGGCATATTATTGATTTTATACAGAGAGGAATTGAGAGGGACAGAGAGCTAGAAACGTCGATGAGAGAGAAACATTGACCAGCTGCCTTTTGCACACACCCCACTGGGGATGTGCCCGAAACCAAGGCACATGCCCTTGACCAGAATCGAACCTGGGACCTTCCAGTCCCATGGCCGACGTTCTACCCACTGAGCCAAACCGGTTTCAGCAAAGATGCCTATGTTTTATATTCGGCAACCCTAAAGCTCAACAGAGGCAGTGTGCCTTCTGTATAATGCCAGATCCTGGGGGCAACAGCATCATTTTCCCGAATGCTTTCATGCCAGGGTGGAGGGCATTAGAAATGTGACTATTGGTTTGGTCCCATCCCCACATTTGTTAAATGAAACCCTTCAAATGCAGCAGTTCCAGTGCTGTCCCTAAAGCTGCAGAGATGAGGAGGGAGGAAGGTGCCAGTCTGTGAAGGCAGGCGGCCTGCCTTTCCCTCCACCCTCACCAGAGAACTTTGACTAAATCCTGTTTCCCTCGATTGATCACTGCAAACACCCACGCTCTGTCACTCTGTGCGTCTCCATGCAGCCTCTGCATGCAGGGAAGCCCCAGAGGCGGACACCCCAGTGGGTTTAGACCAGCCACAAGGTTTTGTCAGCTTGTTCCAGGAGGCTGCCCTCCTGGCTGAGGCCCCCTCAAGAGCTGTCCACCGCGCGTGATGTGACAAATGGCACCTGCGGCAAACCATTCCCAGGGCCCTCTCCCACTCACACGGGGAGGCATTTCAGCTGGCACAGCCCGGGATAGTGAGGGCTGGGGCGCCCCTCCGAGGCTCACCCCGGCAGCAGTGCATCGGGCTATAATTAAATCAGACTGCGAACATATTGTTCACGGAAACCTTAGCAGAGCATGAGTCATGATGGTGAAGTGAATCACACTGCCGCAGAATTTCTATTTATATTTGCTGTATCTGGGGTCTTTATACTTGGGTTCAGTATCCAGGGCCCTACTCTTCTGCCCACATTTATTCTTCCTCATTAGGGAAAGCCTCAAGCCGGGGGAATGGCTAAGGGCCTAAGTGGGCAGCTAGGAAGGAGGAGAGCAGGGGTGAGAGGGGAAGGCTCTAGGCCATCGGGAAAGAAAAGGGAAAATGTTGGCATTTTGACTATTGCTAGCATGCCAATTTTTAAAAAATTAAATTTTGGTGAGAGGGAAGAGGTTGAAACTCTTGGTTATTAGGAAGTTTCCAGATCCTTGTGAAGCTTTTGGGTTAACTTAGCTCCCAGGACAGATACCAAGCAGCACAGCCTTGTGGCCACACTCAGTCCGGAGGCTCATGGCCCTTTTCATGCACCAGCTGTATGACCTGTATATGTGAAATAGGAATGA